GGGGCGGGGGGGGTGAAGGTGACGGAGGTGATGGTGGCGTTGCCGGTCCACGTAGCGGGGCTGGAAGGGCCTTGGGTACCCCGTCGATTCCTGTAGCACAGCACAAATGGTTGCTCGACTCGAAGGTTGTAAACTTGCAGGTGCCGTCTCCAGCTTCGCACAGGCCGCTGGGTGTCGCGCAAGTTGAAGTGGTGTTGACATTGATGCAAAGCGAACTCCCGCTGGCTCCACCGTTTGTAATGGCAAGAGCTGGGATGCGCAACACGCCAGTTGCATACTGAGTGATGAAGTAAAAAGTGCGCGATTTGCCATTCCACGTGACCTGCTTAACATCCTTTTGGCAAGCCGATTTCACTTCCAGCTCGATTTTCTCAAGCCTCTGGTAGATTAGCTTGCAGCACTCGTTGGTGTCGTCATAGCAGCCGGGCTGCAGGCGTAAAAAAAGCAGGAGACGGAGGCTACAGTTTACACGACGAATCAATACACGTATGATGTAAGGAGCAATTGATTCAATCCTTATCCTTTCATTGCGGGGTAGGGATTTGCTGGGATCCCTCCGGGAAAGCTTAACCCTTGAACTCACTACCCTTTACCCGTGCCTGTGCCCACGATTGTCGAGAACCATCAAGGGGTAATATGCCTAGCAGAGAAATTGCTTTCTCCGGAAAAAAAAGGGAAAAAGTCAAGTGTCGCTGTCCGCTTCAAAGGTATGGACCGGCATATGCATATAAACTGTATTGTGTCGGTATGCAGCAGGAAAAGCTGGATTGGCAGAGGGTTTGCGTCAGAGGCTACAAATGTCCAATCCTGGCATGCCAGTTACCTCAGTATCACGTTCAAGGTTTCGACCAAGGTACAAACGTCCAGAGCACGCGGCACAGGGCCTATTGGGGCATCTATTAAGATGGATATCGCAAAATCATGTTTCTGAAAATTCCACTCCAAAAGCCACTAGGCCTCAGCTTACCATATCAATCGTATAGCAGATTTTGGCAAGAGTGCCCGCAGTGTTCTTGCTAGCACCAGAAAGCCTGAGCCGGTATGGAGAAGCCCTGGTTCGATAGTCATTGCATTTACAATAAGGAAATGTTGCTAGCGCCTCCGCAGTCGTCTCAGGCGTGTAGTCAACGTCCAACGCCCAGCCTGAACGGAACGCAAATAAAGTAGGCTACAAGCAATCTACGTATCCCTCCGATGGCAACTTCGTACCGGCTGGAACCAGCGACAGGCATCCGGCCAGTAGCAGCAGCGCTCCTGCCGCTCGCCTCAGACATCCCGTCATCCTAGGTAGAGGCCCAGCAAGGGCCAACGTACTATGACAGTTGTCCAAGTTGTAAAGCTGTCAAAATTATAGTTGGGTATCAGTCAGCAGAGAGTCCGACCTCTATTTGAGTATCACAACCAGCTGTTCGATGCAAATGTTTAATTAACAAAATTTGCGATGCATGGTCAGGTGCGGACTGGCAAACGCAATTAATAAAGCTCATGGATACCATGCAATTAGGTCGCTCAGCATATTATCTCCCCCAGTTGCGGGGATGTAGTGCCGTATACGAAAACCGTTGTTATCTCCTGTTCCCTTAGAAGCTGCTCACAGTGCTTAAACCTGTTACTAATCTTTGGTGATATCCTTAGAGTCGCAGGATCTGTGACTAAGCGCCAATTGGCAAACCTGTATGTAGCGTCTGCCGTCGCGACAGGTTTAAACGTCGTTTGCATGCGCACGCACACATGTCGTAATATCATATGCTGGTCAAAGTGTCCAATAAAATCCCAGCATACATCATGTGCAGCAAGCTTCTCGTCCAAAAATCGCACGCAGTTCTGAAGAGTACGTCTGTCAGGAAACGCTACCTTCCTGTACAAGGCTAATTAATTGCCATTTCAAGGACACGCAACTGCCATAGAGGCGCTCGATTTACTAACCGCACGTGGTAAAAAGCATAGCTTTTGCTTACAGCGACGTGGTTTGAGTCCCGTAAATTCCGCACAAGCCACCGTGTACAACACTGGTGCTAGTGCCGTGTTCGAAACCCTTATGGCCTCTGAAAAAGGACTCCTCACGCAAGGGGACGATGAACGGACCTCGCTGCACATGCACTTAGTCCCGCCGACAGCAGTGAAGGTTCTTTGCAATTTCGCTACCCAACCGCACAGGGGGAAAGCGCAGTCCGTATGCAATAAAGTGAACAACACTCAACAGAGATTCTGCCCTGTAACGGTCGCCAACGCATCTCTGTGTCGAGTCCAACTTCTTCTGCGACCAACGCCCACGTTCCTTAAGTGTATGCTGATGGTACCCTCCCGATCTCTGCATATATCTACGTCCGAACGGTATACATTACCCCCCCTCCGCAGCCGGCAGAAGCCCATCACCCCTGCGTCATACACACCTGATGCGTCTCGAGCAGCTAAACCAACATCTAAAGCCAAATCTTTCATGGATTAAGCAAACAATAAAAACTTAGTCATAGATGAGCCACAATCCCAATTATCATCGGTGCCATGGCGTGAACCCGGACGCCTTAACGGTCACCGTTACGTTAACGGTCAACATATCCCGCTCACCCACAAGCAATGGAGACAAGAGGTTAGAATTATTAAAAGGCTAAAAAGGGGGACCACACTTGCATATACCGCCCCACCGATCGCACACAAGTGCCAGCGGTTGAGGTAACCCATATCTCTTGATAACCACATTACGGGGGGCCGCCCCGGCCGCGACCTCTCCCGGCAACGCGTCGGCCCCCTCTCATCAGTCCACGCCCTGCACCAGCCCCGCTCGGTCCAGCTCCGGGTTGTACCTGCGCCGCCGCTGCAGCGGCCATCAGCTGCTGCTGTTGTTGTTGCTGCTGCGACGCGGCTTGGTGCAGCAGGGCAATCTGTTGCTGCAGTGCCAGCTGCTGCTGCTGCTGCTGCTGCTGAGCCGCAACCATGGCAGCCGCAGGCATTCCCGTCGTCCCCGCTGCTGCCCCCGCGCCCGGCAACCCTCCCGCCGCCGTTGGCGACCCGGCCGCGCTACCAGGCACTCCTGAACTCACGCCGGCAGCGCCTCGCCCCATCGCAGCCCGGCGGACGATGGGTCGGGCAGCACGCGCCGCGGCAGCCCCTGTCACACCTGGCGCCCCAGCGCTGGTCGCCCCCTGTCCTGCAGCAGTCCCCACCGCCTCCGTGCCCTGCCCCGGTGGGGCCTTGGGTGCCAGGTTGAAGCTGATTTCGGAGCGCTGACGCTTCTGCTGGCCGCCACCGCTCGTACTGGAACCAGTTGGAACAGCGGTGCCAGCAGGTGCGCTGGCGCCAGCAGTACCATCACCGGGGGTGTCTCCGGGAGCGCCGGCCCCGGTTGACGGTTCGGGTGAAGGCGACGGCGGCGCCGATGTGGCCCCACTCTGAGGACTGCGCCTCACAGCCCCGCGGCCCCGCCCCCCAGCAGTGCGGCCCCCAACGCCGCCCCTCCCTAGCCGCGGCGACCGCACCGCCTGTGGCGCAGCACCTCTGTCGCCATCAGCTTGCGCCTGCATCGCAGCAGCGGCTGGCTGTGCCTGCACCTGTGGCGGAGTGCCAAGCGCGCCCTCCGTCGTGACTTCCTGTGAGGGGTCGGGCGTGCTGACCAGCGCGCCGCCGCCCTGAGATGCTGCCGTACCGCCCGCTGCTGCTGCTGCTGCCGCTGCAGCTGCCGCAGCTGCCACAGCTGCATCTCTGGCCTCCAAGTCTGCAGTAATCGGAAATCATGCCACGGGCAGACATACGTATGTACCCACCAGGCAGTCAGGTGGGGTTGGAAGCTGGTCAGTGTTCGCCAATTGTGAGTACAAACACAATGCTTAAAGCGTATGGCTGTTTACTACTGCGCATGCGCTTCATGGAAAAATCACAACATCTCCATTGCCTACATCTTAGGATTAGGGCAGCAAGCCACCACGGATGCGCGTGATGCAATACATGAGCAAAGCGCGTCGTCCTTCCATCACACTTGTTTTACGACGTGCCTGCCACATAGGTGCGGCACGACCCAGCACAGCCCCGAACTCCCCCTGCGCACCTGCTACAACACTCGGTACGAGCTCGTCTAGCTCCAGATCAGATTCTTCAGCTTCCGCGCCTGTAAACGCAGAAGGCCCACGGGTCATCGCATCGCGCAAAAACACATCAGCACAATACTTTCATGCTGTTTGTGTGCCGCCATGTACGCATCCGCCTTTCGTCCGAGTCTCCGGTAACTCCCGTAACTCAGATTAGCGAGCGACATCACACATAGGTGTACAACTCTTGGCGCGCAGTAAAGGATGCGTTCCTGACAGGCGGCGACAGGGTCTAGGGAGAGGGGTTCGCCACATGTGTAGCGGCAATAGCACACAAACTGCTGGCCGCCAGCTATAAGACTAATTGGCAACCTCATGCACACTACACAGGCAACAGGTAAACAGCAGGACTTGCCATAAACACAAAAGCTGGCCATACAATGCCTCCACCTTCAACCTTATACATCACACTATACAGACGGCGCTGGGCTACGGTGCTTGCTTCGATAAAGCTATCCTTGTACCAGACATTTTCGCCATTTCCTTCGCGCGGCACGAATCACAAGACACAGAGGATGAGATCAGCGATGACTCCGCCAGCCTGGCAGTGCACGACGGCGTAGCATAAAAACACAGACTAAGCTACGCCGCAAACCCGACGCGGCAATGCAAGAACAGACCGTAGGGACACCACTCTGACCAACGGACCTTCATCCATGTTGCCCTCCACTTGGTTTTCCGCCTGTGGGCCGGACAAGTGTTGAAAAAAGGAGCAGTGCTTACGTTACGAAGCGTGGCGCGTATCATAACGTGCGCACAAGTGTGTGCGGGGCAGTGCAAGCCGCGCCATGGCCGAGCACGGGCACGTCCCCCGGTGCACACGTCGAAAAATCACGGAGGAGCTGCAGTCCTAATCGGAGCAGGAAACAAATAACAGCAACAACACAGCTGGTCACTTAACAAGGAGGTGCAAGACAAAGACGGGCCAACGCATGCAGTACAACCCTGCAACCTACCATCATCACAGGCTAGCCAGCGGCCAATTTACCACACGGCTCCCATTACAGGACCCATGGAATAGGCGCCCATCGCAGCGCCCCTGGCACTGGGGGCCCTGCGTAATCAACTTACCCCCATATCTCCCGAGGGACCCGTCCCCATGGCAACCAGAGACGTGTGGGACGCGGACCGTGGCCTCTTGGCAGCTGGTGCGCCGCTGCCGTCATCGTCGCCACCGACGGCTCCACCTGCGTCGGCAGCGCGCCACGGCGAAACCGACGAACAGGAACACAGCAGCAATTGACCGACGCATACGCGTGGTATGGCAGCTTTCCTAGTGCCTGCTAGGTGTGTAACGGCCTTCATGCCTTCATGCCCTCCCGGAGTCAACAACCAAAGCGCACATTTGTGGAAAAGTGCCGTGCCCTTCCCAGCACCCACCCAACCCACCTGCAGCACCAGCACCAACAGCACCAGCACCACCTTGGTTCGCACCGGTGCCCTCACCGCTACCCCCAGCGGCAGCTGCATCGACACCGCCGTCGTCCTCCATTAACGGCGTCATTTGGCGCTTTCGCGTGTTTGTAGTGGCGGCGGCTAACGCCTGTCAGGAAGATGGACACAGTTGGCACAGGAGGGTTCAAAGGGCCCTTGCGTCTGCAGTTCACACACAGAAACTCAAACAGCAGACCCGGGTTGGTGGTTAGGAGGCAGGTACGTCCATGGCAAGATCAGTATGGCGGGATATACCCCTGGGTTGTCGGTGTTGTCCAATCCGTCGGGTTTGGAGGCCCATTTCTCCACACGCCGGAAGTCGGTTGGGGGGCATCGCCATGGGACACACACGCTTGATTGGTGATAGTCCCAAAGCTATCATACTGCGTAGCTCTTTCATCCGGGGAACAACTTACCCCTCTTCCTATGGATCCTAGAGTTCATTCCTCTTTGAATCCTCCAATAATGGTGCGGTACCTTCATTGTAAAATTATCCCTGGGTCGGCTGGATTGTGGATCACAGGCATGTGGAATTCTGTAGCGTTCCGCATGCGTAACCCTCCTCCTGCCACAAGGTTCTAATACTGCAGCCTACCGCTCGCGTCCAAACTCATGGACGACCAGTGAAACGCCCACCTGGAGACGGAGCGCCTTCAGGTCGGGGTCCTCGTCATCGTCATCCTCGTCGTCCATCTCCGTGCTACCACTGTCTCGCTCCTCGTCCCCAGCGCCCATGTCACCCTCCTCGCCTTCATCTTCGCCTTCACTTTCCCCCTCGCCCTCGCCGTCACCTTCGGCGTAGCCAGCGCCTTCGACCTCGCCGGGCTCCTGCTGTAGTTCCACATCATCCCCACCAACTGGTGCCGCTGCTCCGCCTTCCTCTCCCACCACCGCCGTAGCCCTGTTTTCATCCTCATCCATGGGCACAACAGTGCTCTCCATGGCTGCCAAAACGTCCATGTATGCTGCCGCCGTGCTGCCGGCCTCGCCTTCGGCCGCCACCGCCGCAACGTCTTCCGCAGCCCCAGCTTCACCGACCGCCGCCATCGCAGCAGCAGCATCGACGGCGGCAGTCGTGCCGGCGGCAAGGGCCCCTGTCTCATCCGGCAACCCAGTAGTATCGCCCAAGGGCTGGGCTGTGCCACCCACATGCGCCCTGCCGGCATCGCCCAGTGAAGCAGCCGTACATCCATCCCTACCGCCGCGCCCACCGTCCTCTGCGTCTGCCCCATCGCCACTCACAACCTCGCCGTCCCCACCTCCCTCCTGTTCCTCCCCTTCCTCCGCAGGCGCCGCCTCGGCTGGCGGAGCTTCTGGCGCGCCTGTCACTGGCTCTTCCGGCGGACCCGCCGGGGCCAGCTGTGCGCCCTCCTCCGCCGCGCCTCCCTCCGCCGCATCGCCCTCCTCCTCTTCTTGCAATTCCCCTTCTTCTTGGGCCTCCTGTGCGACGATTTGCATAGAGGCAGCAACCAAAGTTGGAAAGACCGGAAACATAACGTTCATAAAACGCTGCCCGGGCGGGCTTGCCCCGCACCGTTTCTTATGCAGCATAACTTATCAGATAGTCAGGCTCAGGAAAAACAGTCCGGTTAGTACGACGGAATTTTCCGTGTGATTGGATATAATAAATTTCCCTTGTGCGTTTTTTGATATCTGCCTTGTTTGGACAGCCTTCCAACTGGCCCCTGGCTCGTATGGGCCCGTTTACACCTATGGAGGGTAGCGCAACTTAAGGTGTAACAAACACATACGCGCGCATGAAGACCAAAAACATCGCCACCAACAATCACAACTGCACGGCCACTAGACGCGACCGAAGGCCCACAACCTCCGAAAGAGCTTTCAATGCGGGAAGTCGACATACAGATCCCCCAGCCACACACCTGTTCGGCCCCGTCGGCCCCGCCTTCGCTAGCTGCTGCTGCGTCTGCCTCGCCGCCTGCCTCACCATCCTCCATCGCACCGTCGGCTGCCCGGTCGGCATCCGCAGCCCCCGCTTCCGCCTGCTCCTCGCCAAGGTCCTCACCCTCCTCGAACCCGTCATCCGCAGCCTCCTCCGTTCGTCCACCGCCATCGTCAGCAGCCTCCCCCTCGCCACGTGTCTCCTGCGGACCCGCGGTGGCGGCGGCGGCGGCGGCAGCGGCGGTATCACCAGCCGGTCGCTCACCCTCTGCCGCTGCCGCCTCTGTCTCTATCTCTGCAGGCAGTGGTTGGCCCTGAGGCTCCTTTGACGTCATGGTTCCAGCAGTGGTGGCATCCGTTGGCACAGCAGCTGCAGGGATGTGGGCGGCGACCGCATCCGAAGTCTCCACCGCAGCATTGCCCATCTCCGTATCAACTGCAGCATGGGGCTCGCTGCTCGGCTCTGCATTCACGGCCGACCGGGATGCAGCAGCGCGGGCAGCGGCGGTTGAAGGAGAAGTACCAGCGGTAGCGACTGCCTGCATAGCTGCAGAGGCCGGCGCCGCAGCAACCCCTAGGTTAGCTAGATGCGGAGGCAGGAGTGAAGACAGCCTCGCCTGCGGTGCCTGCGCCTGTGCCTGAGCCTGCGGCACCGCTACAATGGGCGCCTCACCTGCTTCCCCCATGGCTATGTCTCCATCACCAGCACCAGAGCCAGCCGTAGTCGTCGCAGTAGTAGCCCCTGGCGTACCCTCAGCTGTCAGTTGGGAGATTGGTACTGGAGCCCCTTCCGGAACGGCCGCGGTTCCGGACCCGCCGACGGCAGCAGCGCTTGGTTGCTGGACCATCTGCTGGTCAGTGCTTTCGGGCTGCGCTGCAGTATCTGTCACTGCCGCAGCCGTTGGCTGATCGTGTGTTACGTTACCGGAGGCAGCAGCGGCCGTAGCAGCAGGTGCGGAAAGCGGCCCCGTAAGTGTCGCTTGGCCTGTCGAGGTTGACGGCCGTGGGCCAGTTGTCTGCGGTTGTACAGCTGCAGGAACCGGGAACTGGATTGGGGTCCTGCGAATGCCGCGGGCTGTTGCGGCGGCCAGAGGTGGCCCGGTTGTACCTGGCGGCAGCACAGATGTGCGTGCAGTTACCAAGGTAGGGGCTGCTGGCTCTGACGAAGCGCCTGACGCCGGCGTCGGCGCTGCAGCAGGCGTCGGCGCTATGGCCGGTGCCGGCGCTGCAGCAGGCGTCGGCGCTGTGGCCGGTGCCGGCGCTGCAGCAGGCGTCGGCGCTGTGGCCGGTGCCGGCGCTGCAGCAGGCGTCCGCGCTATGGCCGGTGCCGGCGCTGCAGCAGGCGTCGGCGCTATGGCCGGTGCCGGCGCTGCAGCAGGCGTCGGCACTATGGCCGGTGCCGGCGCTGCAGCAGGCGTCGGCGCTATGGCCGGTGCCGGCGCTGCAGCAGGCGTCGGCACTATGGCCGGTGCCGGCGCTGCAGCAGGCGTCGGCGCTGTGGCCGGTGCCGGCGCTGCAGCAGGCGTCGGCGCTGCAGTTGGTGTCGCGCCCGGCATTGCTGTTATTGCTGGCGCCGCCAATGGTGTCACCCTTGCTGCCACCGCTGGTGCCACCGCAGCTGGGGGTGAACCCGGCCCTGCCGCGCCAGCGAGCCCAGCCACCTTACCACGAGCCCTGGCGCGCTCAATCCGCTCTGTTAAGTCCCTAACCTTCGCCTCCGAAGCAGCAACTGTGACAGGTGGAGGGCATCCCAAACAAGGCCGGCAACATGGGGATGCGCGTCACTAAATGCATATTTTCGCATCTCCTTCAACATCCTCCACATGCCCAATCCCTCCACCCACTTCACAGCCCCCCTAACTCCCAAGCCCGTCTCTTGTTCCCGCTGCGAAAGCCGCGCAGACTCTAGCCGGTGTTGCCTAGCCCCTGCTTGGTCCTGCCTCGCTCTGTCCCCTTCTGAAGGCTAAACCACTCACGTTCATCACGCGAAACCTTGAGCTGGCGTTCCAGTTCCAGGACGCGCATCGCCGCTGTCTTGCCGTCATTGGCTCGGCGTTGGCGCTCGTCCTCCACAACTTTGTTCAACGACTCGACAGATGTTCGCGCGACCTGCAAAGGGAGTACAAGACACGCAGGGATAAGGGGCGTGCGTCACAACGCATCAAACACTCCTCGAACACTAGTCCCTCAAACCAGGGTGCGAACACCGCGACACGGGATGGGCCAGGGAACGCCATACTGGAGCGTGGAAACCTAAGCCTCTGGAGGGTAGAGCAACACCAGCAAGTAGGGCAGGACATGACTTCCCGAAACCTAAAATGGGCAGCATCAGCAGAGTAACGAGGAATCTCATTGGCCCCCAATTCAGCAGTACCACACCTGTAGCTCCGATTCCAGGCTGGCCTTCTCCGCAATCGCTGCACGGGCCCGATCGACCATCCTGCGAAAGCAAAGCATGGTAGCAGCAGGTTGGGGTAATGAAATTCGCGGCCAAGGTGCAGCGGCATACGGCGAGACCCTTCTGCAGAACCAAGGATCTTAAGCGGTTCGCATCGCACCACATGTCCCTACAACCACGTGCGCCGTGCGCAAGCCCTGCCGTCACGGACGGTTCATGCATCGTTTAGTGGCAGCGGCTACCGGCATCACGGCCATGATGCGTCGCGCAGCGTGGATCTCACATAGTAAGATCCCTTCACTTACTGTTTATGGGAAGCCTTCACTTTGGCGATAGCCTCGTTCTGGGCCGTGAGCGCATCTTCCTTAGACTTAGCCAGCTAAGGAGGGCGGGAAACGAAAGGGCACGGCACGAGACAGTGAATAGTGCGGGTGCACCGGAACGTATTAACGAGCCATTTCATGGACAGTTATATACCGGCCCTCACCAGACCCTTTCAAGGGTGCATGCAAGTCAGGGGTGCATGCAAAGATAAAGTCCCTTGGACGAAAGGAAAGACAAAAAGCACCGCCAAGACGACGTCAGCTGCTAGGAAGGTCCCCGAACGCTCGGACCTGATCGCCCGCCAATTCCTCGTCTTCGTACTGACCTTCGCAGCGCGACCGTAACACCCGGACACTGCGAGCCCCATAGGAGCTGCTGGCTCTAAGCACAGCGCTAAGCTCCTCAAGGCAGCAAAGTGCAACTTCACACTTTTTTATAGGTGCAATGCCGCCCGCTTGTCCATCCCTCCGGTCGAGAGGATTATATGGATATGCGCACGATCTCTTTTCTTCTCTCCGCTCGGCGTTTGCCGCCCTTCCCACACTGGCTATCCTGGACATCTGGGTTTCTGCGGTATAGATTATTTCCGAAATATTCAGTTCCCTCCCCACCTGCGCCTCCAGTGCCGCCACCTTTTCGTTGGCGGCTGCCAACTCCTCCCGCGCGGCGGCCAACGCCTTGCCCGTGGCCTCGTTGCTGGCGAGCAACTCCTTGTGCTTACGGATGAGCAAGCTGTGGCGCCCACGGATTTCGGCGTACTCTTTTCGCTGCGGGACGAATGCAAAATACGGACGTGACACAGTACAGCATGGGGTGACAAGTCGCACGTTTAATTACGGAGCGAGAAGTGTGTTGTTTTAGGCAAGCGTCATGAGACCCTGTCCCAGAGGACAGCCAAATGCACGGTCCGTGGCTAGTGTGGGTGGCATTAAGCCTTGCTGCGAAGCAAACACACACACACACACACACGCACACGCACATGCAAATACATGCAGGTCCCCATCACCTCATTATATTCTCACCGTTTTTTCGAGGTCCGCGTCCGTCGTCTCCTTCGCTGTCTTCAGCTCTGCCAGCTGCTGCTGCAGCGCGGCGCTCGACGCCTGGAGACTCTTAACCTGCTCCAAAGCCGCCGCCAGCTCGGACCGGACAGATGCCAGCTGAGCCTTGACGGAGTTGTGTTCCTCCAAAGTGACCTTGCCGTACCTGCCGTACACGCGCGATATAAGGGCATCATCCGCGCATGTCAGCCAGCGGCCGCCAATAACGCAGCTGCAGAGTGCTGCCCAGCCGCGGGCCGCGGCATTATGAAAGAAGCAAGCAACTGCACGGACCTGACCACAGCCACAAGACTGTAAAAGGACACGTTAGCTTCAGGACCGACCGACCGACCGAGGCAAGGAAAAGGCTTGCGCAACCCCCCCCTTTTTGCGCCCCTTTGTCCGGCCGGCAGACATTCATACGCTGGACGGATCCGCCGTTGAAACGATACCAAATGCTTTATGAGTTGGAGAAGGCTGGATGAATATGCCGAGCTGCCGACGTCATATCTACCTGCTCATCAGAGCATCGTACTTGTCCCTCCACAGCGACTCGCCCCGCTTGTGTGCTTCCAGCTGTGCCTGTATCCCGGCCAAGGCCGCCGCCGACTCACGCAGACCTGCCTCTCCCGCGGCTGCGCGCTGTTCCGCATCCGCCAGCAGCGACCGCAGCCGTTCCGCCTCTAGAGACGCGGAAAGGGGCCAGGGTCGGGGGTGGGTGTGTTGGGGACTTACACGTGGAGGGGCCAGGGCCAGGATTCACGACATCGTGCATGGCTGGTAGCTAATAGGGTACATGAATTGCAAGGTCGCGGACGCATGGTAAATGCTTGGCACGGCAAGAAAGGATGACAGGGCCAAGGCAGGACAAAGGTTGGCTGGGACAAAGGTTGGTCCTGGCGGAAAATAAACATTTACATGTTTGAACCAGGCTTTCCACGACGGATGACAAGCAGCCGGCTGCAAATCCGTAACAGGTTCAGCTTCTCCCCTTCCCTGTGAAGCGCACCTGCCCTTGCGGCGTCCAGCTCGCCCCTTAGCTGCCCCTGCGCCACGCGCCGTGCGTGGTCCTCCGCCTCCAGCAGATTGATGCGGGCCTGGGAATCAGGGAGCACGGGTTTCATGCGTACAAAGTGAAGTAACCACCCACTCGGTAACATCTACGTGCATGTACAGTGTCCATAGAGCGCATCATGCTTTCGCAGCCGTGTGCTTGTCAGGATTGTTAACAAATAAACTAAAACACGTCGCTGCAAAAACGTGACTAGCAGCTTGGCCAGTGGACGTGGATGCACTTTTTACCTGCAGGTCCGCTCGGCTAGTGGTGAGGGAGTCCTGCAGCGACGCCATCTGCGCCCGCAGAACCGCTGCTTGCTGTACTGCGCTGTCGCGCTCCTCCCGAAGTTTGTTGCGCTCCGAAGCCAGCAGGTCCAGCTGGGCGGAGGCGAGGGCCTTATCGCGGCCTAGATAGTCCATCAGAGACTGTGGGGAGCAAAATAGGAGGGACGAACGTTGCAGCACTCCAAAACAGCTGACGCCCCATTCATTGCAGGATAGGAAGTCATGCGGCTAACGCTACAGTAAACAATTGAAAACATTTACACCTAGCTTACGCACCGAAGCCTTATCCGAAGCCTTATAGGATTTATTGCGCCACGGCCTCTTAGTCATTCGGCCAACTTTCACCGTGGCTCTCGCTCGCCGCCGCGTGACCCTTCCGCACCTTGTACTGCTCCGCCGACATGCCCACCAGTTCGTGGTGTGTGCCCGCGAGCACGCCCCGAACAGACGCCAGCAGCTGCTCACTTCCGGCGGTCCGCTCCGCCAGACGCGCCTCCGTTGCCGCCAGCTCCGCCTTCAGCGCCTCCTTCTCTCGGTCTGCAGCCGCCAACCGCTCGTCCACGCCGTTTAATGCAGCCGTTAGCTCGTTCTGACGGGGAGTGTGGCAGCGGCGATTGTGTAAATGTTTGGGCGAGCGTGTGTACGATTGTATGTGTGCGTGCACAAAGCTAGACGTCCGATTTCGAACAAATCAAGTGTGCAGCAGGCCAGCTCCAGTCAAGCGTCCGCATGGGGGAGCAAAAAGTTAAAAGAAGTTTGTAGAGCATCATCAACAGCTGAAGATGCAACAGCTGGCAAAGCCCATAAAAATGCGCCAGTAGTGAGCAGTCGCAATTCCTTGCCTCCCATAGCCCCTCTTCCTTCTCACAGACCAAAGGGCTGGATCATGTGAAGCAGATGAAACGTGTGCACCTTGCCAACCATACCACGTAGATATTGGTGGTATGGCATACCAACAAACCTGCAGGCGGTTGACGGTGGCCTGTGTCTCCTCCAGTTGATTCTCCGCGGCTTGCAGTGCTGTCACGTCCCGGGCGTGTGACGCCACAGCTTCCTCGTAGCGGCTGCGGTACTCGCGCACGGCCGCCTGCACCGTTGCAAAACAGAAGCGAAGCGTGGCTAAGTGATTGTAGCGTGGGCAAAGTTGTGAAGCAGCAAGCAAGCTACGCACCATCCCACCCCACTATAGCACCGCCCCACCCTCTACAGCACTGCCCCCCCCACCCCAACCCCAAATGTCGCCATTTGTTCTTCCATTTTCATTGCCGCATTTCAGCCCCCAAACTCCGCAGCGGACCGGGTGCATCCGCAAAGCAAGTAAGGTCCACTGTATGCGGTTCCAGCACAGGACATGTAGCATGCCAAAAGTTAAATACTACAACAAGGCGCCGCTAAGTGTGTTTGACGGCCTTCGCAACGCGGCCCACCCGCCCGTCCACCTGCGCACCTGCAGCCTGGCAATGTCCTCGTCCGCGCGAGTGCGCTGGCTGGCCCTGTCCGCGAGCTCTCGGCCTAGCCGAGCCACTTCGCTGCTTAACCGAGCTGCTTCCGCTGCGCTGCTGGCCTGCAGGGCCTCGTGGTCGGCCTGCAGGGCGGCCAGCGCAGCACGGTTCTCCGCGGCAGCCGACTCCGCAGCCGTCAGGGCAGCCTACATGGGCGAAGAGGCTGACACTTCTTTGGATTTAGGAAGGGTGGTCCGGGATGAGGGCATTAGGCAGTGCTGGCAGTGGCAGTAGTAGCGGACGTGATTAAAAGGACCACCCATCATGTCCAAGCGGAACTAAGACGCGAACTAAGCAGCGGTTTGCGTCAAAGATGAGCGAGGACAAGCCCGCCCGGAAGGACTGGCCTGGGAACGAATAAGGCAGGCATTTTTGAGGCAGTCCAGACATCAACAGAGATGGCGCTGGCTGTCCCAGGACGTGGCAATAACCGAAAAGTGGAGAAAACGGGGCGTCTCAACAAGTGCTTTTCAAAAGCCGAATAAGGAGCGTGTAGGTGTTTCCATGCAATCACGAGTCCAGACCCAGGGCATAGTCCCCAATGACAAAAGACACGACGCACACGCGACTCCAAAGGCGCATTGGGAACATTTCCCACATACTTGTTTAAAAGCGAGATTTTCCCAAACTGCTACCACACCTGAGCCTCCGCACTCGCCGCCTCCGCCTCCGCAGCCTGCCGTGCCGCCGCGGCCTGTGCGGCCTCGTGGCTCTCCCTGAGCGCATCGTAGGTGCCTTGTAGCGCCGCCATAGCCCCACGAAGAGTCTCAACAGCAGCGTTGCGGGCCTCTAGCTGCTCGCGAGTACTTGCAAGTTCGGCCTGGGTGGAGGTACAACAATTTAAGGATGAAGTAATGCACGCGTAATATGAATACGGCACTGAGGTGGGAGTATTAATCCACGTGACGGGTCAGCTGTGCACGCAGGTGCCCAAGCCCAAATGGACAACAAGGATAACACTTGCGTTGCAGAAGCGTGTTCTTAATCAGGATTCGTTGCGCCACAGACGCGTGGAAATGCGTAACAGAAGTCAGATGCACAGGCGCCAAGGTGGTGGGGGGAGGATGCAAGGTGGCGGTGGAGAAACGTGGCGCTCAGCGGTCAGGTCGGTTCAGAGCTTAACCCTACAATTCTACCCCACAGTTCTACCTGCGTCTCCCGTAGCTGCGCCTCCGCATCCCGCAGCTTCTGCCCCTCCACCAGGTCCGAAACCGCAGCGCCTCCTCCCACACCGCGTGCGGCTGCAAGCTGGCTGTTGAGCTCCGAAACCTGCGCCTGAAGCTCTACGATGCGGCCTCGGAGCTCTGAAACCTGGCCGCGAGCCTCCTCTAGAGATCGCTCGGCCTCGTCGCGTGCACGGCGCATGTCGTTGGCCTCCTCCCGCACCTCGCGAAGCTGTTTCATGTTTCATTCAGCAAGTGGCGAGGAATTGCGCTTGTTCAGCAGTGAGATATGCACGCAAAACAGTCCATTCCAGGTTTGCACGCACGTGCGGAGGCGGATAATGGAAGCGGTAGGGTTATTAACCTATCTATAGGTATTGCGAGCTTCTGGCAAAAAGACAAGATGCCTGGGTGGCTCATTTTATGTGTCTGGGCCTTACTCTTATGCACAGTAGCACCCTAAGTCGCAGCTTTCGGGGCGACAAACCGGTCCTCCTTAACCGCCTTTCCCAGCCCATCTACCCAGCACCCATCCAGCTAGCCAACCTGTGCCGTGGCCGCCTCCACCGAATGGTGGAACAGTGTTTGCTGCCGCTCGTGATCCCCCCGCAGCCGCGCCAGGTCCGACTCCAGGTTGGCTGTGCGGCGCTCCAGCTCACGCTCACGCATCGCCGCAGTGGCCTCGCTGGTGGAGCGCGAAAGTGTGCAGCAGTGAAGTACTGTTTAAGCTTCAAAGACAACGGCAAGCTCAAGGCAAAGGTCAAGGTGTTACGGTACGCAAAACTGAGCGAGACTAGCTGGATATGGGCCGATGGCTGAAAGTTCATTTGCAGCCTATCCTACCCTGGCCTGCAACCCAGCAACCTGCGTCCCCACGCCGCCCACCTGTTGGCCCGTAGCTGCTCCGCTACTTTGGCGTCCGCCAGTGCACGGTTGCGCTCTGCCTCAGCCATTGCCAGAGCCGACCTTGCATCCTCCAGGGCTGTGGTCTGCGCGCTCATGCGGGCCTCCAGAACCACTTGATGCTCTGTGCGGGAGCGGACCTTGGGTCCAGAGCAGGTCACCGGGCGGTGAAGACGGTGGGGGAGTTGAACATACAAGCCAGCTCAGAGTGACAGGTTAAAGGAATGAGCAGGGAGCCTTCCAGATCATTTTCCTTCTCTCCTTACAAGGAGTGGAACAGAATGTAGCGCCACCTGCGGTCGGCTTGTGGTGTGCGTGGAGGGTGCAGCGCCCGCGCCCAGATGGCAGTAGATAGCAAGCATTCGGCAGGAATAATGACCAATGCCCACCTTACACCATACATAACCGCAATATACAATAAGATTTGCCACAGTCCCTGCAACCTGAGCCTGCGGGCATAGATCCTGCCTCGGGCTCAGTGCATGCTCGCACTGACGCACTCGCGAGGCTCCCACGGCCGCCACCGCCGCACCTGCGACTGAAGCTCCTCTAAGCCCCTCTGTGCCACCTCCGCCTTGTGCTGCGCTGTCGCCAGCAGCGTCGTCAGCTGCGCTTTCTCCGCCGCCAGCGCATTCCGCATCGCCATCTCGCTCTCACGCAGCGACTCCATCGCCGTGCATCGCTGCCGCCAGTCATCGGCACGGCCAGCGTGGCGAGCCGACTCCGCAGTGGCCGCAGCCAGCTTCTCGCGCAACTCGTTCACCTGGGTCGTGGACCGTTGTTAGCATGCGATATTTTGCAGTGTGTGGTGTTAAGACACGGCGCGCCGATTTTTCCGGCCAACCTGAAGAATGTGGGTCTTTCCTAAACAAAAACTCACCCCCATCCTTGCCTCATTAACACCAGGAAAGGCAGGGCACTAGTTATCCGTGCATTTGCTTTGGAAGGCTTTGGAAGGCACCTGCTATTTGCTAAAACGTATGGGCAGAAGGGCCATCCAGCCCAGATATTGACGGGGATGCTCTGCAATACATCCGTAAGCGAGGGAAGACCTTGGGGTTCCCGACCCTTCCATGCCCTTCTTTTCAAACCTTACAAAAACAATTCCCAAGACAAGGGGGTTACTCCGACGAAAACCAAGTCGAAAACCAAACACGCGACCCCACCTGTGCTTGCATCGTGTCAGCAAGTGACTTTGCCTCCTGCCGGGTTTGACTCAGCTCTTCCCGGATCTGAGCCAGCTCTGCTGCAGCCACAGCAGCGGCAGCGCCGTCATTGCCGCTGCCCGCCGCGTCCGCTGGCGGGGCCGGCGTGCCCCCAGGCGAGGCCGGCGTACCACCGCCGCGTGCCGTGGACTTCGCCGTCGACAGCGCCGCCTCCAGCTCCGCGGCGCGAGTGGTTAGTTCGTTGATCCGGGTGGTAGAACGGTTGGCTGCCTCGCTGAGCTCTTGGACCAGGCTGTTGAGCTCGGCAATTGCCGTTCTGTGCCGTGGGAGCATGCACCGAGATTGTTGTTGTTAGAGCGTTTGATAACTTTATTGCGTATGAGTGATGCTCGCTTGTAGACACCACGCAGGATGAGGTCCTTGTGAATACTCTACTCTGTTGGCTAAAGGTAAGCAGCGAGTGATACATCCATTCATTAGCGTCACATATTTCATGCCCTCAGCGCAAATTATATGAAGCAGGATGACCACGCACACTCCCTTAACCCTTGGCGCGCATGTTTGCTATAAAAAGCACATGACACGTTGTCATCAACTCAAAAGACCAGTTCATCGCCTGTCCAAGTGTCACGCAACAAGGGTTCAATCCCGGCTCGGGTCGACCACTGAAATAATCACATGCGACTCCAGCCTCCCCGAAAATGCAGACTCACTTGTAGCTCTGCTCCCGGGAGGCAAACTGCTGCGCCACGTCCTCCGCCACTTCGGCACGGCTCCGCTCGCTCTCCCCGCCCAGTTGCCGCACCAGCGCGAGCAGTCGCCTGCACAAAGAGACCGAGTTGAACTGAAAGAAGACAACCGGCTACATGACGGGAGGATGTGGGCCGCCGATAGCGTGGTTATATCTCCGTAAAGTTGTGGGTGCCCTAAGCCCGGTGAAAACATGAGCCACAGGTAGGGACGACGCTGGGACACCCTGCCACTTGAAACTTTCATACAGAGGGTATCGCGCTCCGGGCCCCAGGGAACCACTCATCCGAGGAAGAAAGGAAAGGGACATTGGCTCCCAATGACTGCACACCTGTTCTGTTCCACCAGCTCGTCCAATGTGCGGAACGTGACCAGACGATGGCTGATGACGTCGCCCGCATTGAGAAGCTGGTCCGCACTGAGCCCATTGCCGTCGGCAGCCCCGCCCCCCCCAATGCTGCTGCTGCGCGCTACGGGCTTGCCGTTCAGCCGCTGCACCTCTTCTACTAGCGCCTTGACCTGCGGAGTGAGTGGCCGGCAAAGTCGGGGCTAGGTAAAAACAAGTCGTTTGCAGTCCACAAGCTTGGACTGACAAAAAGAAACGAAGACATACTTGTGGACGGGTATGGTGGTGCAAATCCAGTAAAACCTTTAACGCGGTTGTTGTGCCGTGGGGAACAGCGTGCATCATGGACAAAGGAACGGAGCGCGGACTGCATACAGACACACAAACAGGTGAAAGGAGCCGGCACCGTGAAACCTGCCCCGTTACATAACATGACACGCTGCTGGTAGAGATAGCACGCGCCGCACGCTGGCCCTTTACAACTTCCAAGCGCTGGACGCGCCTCTGCAGAACCTACTTGTCCCAGCCTTTAGCCATTTAGCCATATGTAACCATATATCTAGCATTCCGGTATAGGATAACTAGTGGTTTTAGGTAACTAGTGACTCTACCACGACCATACGGAGGAGGAACCCCCATCCCTTCACCAACCGACTCCCCCCCATGCCGAGCCGGCAAGCCCAAATCCTCAAACCTATGTGTCTCTACCGATGCCCACGCACGCAGATACGTGCGCGACTGCACACATATCACCTGCTGACTGAGGTCCCGTATCGCCTGTTCCTGCGCGCGCTGCTCCGACTCCTTTCGCTCTAGGGACGCTTGTGCCGTAGAGAGGGACGTCTGCAGCCGCCGGTTCTTATCTTCCAGCGTCGCGACGGTCGCCTGGACACCAGTTGCGCGAAAACGCACTCGTTTTTCAAAACAAACAAGTCAGCTATCGAGTCGACCACAACTCGTTCGACAAACTCGAAATGTGCAGATGCTGGTGATGCAACCATTGTTCTTGGCCAATTTTACGCAGCGCAACATACAAAACCACACTTGCATGTTAGACTGCCCTAGAGTGCCCGTTCGAAGCTTCCAAGTTCATGGGCCCATGTCCACAGCGATCGCGACTGTGGCCCCATCAGGCGTCTCACGGCAGCAACAGACCCAACCTCAAGCACCCACCAATGCCTGATCGAGCGCCTCCCGCATCTTGTCCGCTTCTTCCTGTTGCCGGGCGCTAAACGCCACCTTAGCCTCCAGGTCTGCCGCAATGGCCTCCATGTAGCTGCCCAATCGCCGGACCTCCGCGCGCTCCCGGTGCCAGGCCTCTTGCTGCGGGACCGGCCCCCGACTTATTAGCTAGCAGTGAATTCAGCAGATGTTAAGCTAATGCTAAGCGCTTAACCTAGTATTACGCAAGGCCATGAAGGATTTAGCATTGCCGTGACGACTCCTGGCGTATGTGGCCAACCTCCTAGTTTGGCATCGTCCCGACCCGATACCTTCTCCTCCCGCACACAGAATCTGCACCTCCCCAAACTCACCATATCCTGGTACATAGCCCACACCTCCATCACACTCTTGCCCTGCAGCACCAACCCATCGCCGCCGGTTACTGGCACCGACCCAGGGGTCATACCAGCAAGCACAGCAGCCACACCGCCAGCCTGCACCGCTGGCTGACCTGGCGTCAACAACGCGTCAGCTGCGGCCCCGCTGCCTCCAATGGCAGGGACGGTGGCGGTGCCGCGCGCGGCGGCCGCCGCCGCCATGGCCTCCGGCGATCCCACCGGCATGGCGTTGGCCAACACAGTGACATCACCCGAGGACATAGCAGCTGCGATAACGGCGTTGAGATGCTGCACCTGGGCTCTATGACGCTGTGCGGCGCTCTCCGATGCTGTTTGCAGCGCTTCCAGCTTGTTGGCTGCTTCATCGCAGAGGTTCTGCAGCAACTGCGGGGTAGGAGAGCGCGGCACAGTGGCAGCAGCAGCGCCTTATTTAACCCTTCTGCTATGATTCCAGTAACAACCGTAGCCCACATGCAGGGAGGAAACACAAAATTCGTGCGGATTATCGAACAAAGCGCCCTCGCATGCAGACGTCTTGACTTTAATCGGCCTTGATTTTTCAACGACGAACTGACGGAACCAGTTCACGATGCCATGCATGCGCGCCATTTCCCCGCTCCACCCCTCCAAATCAGATTGTCGATACCCTTCCCACTTTCCCACAGTCCACTCAAAAACATGTACTCATAACCCCCACCCAACGGCCCCCACCTTTAAGCTGCTCAGCTTACCTGCAGCTGCCCTTGCACATCCGTCAGCTGCGCCCGCAACGCCGTCGCCTCACCCTCAGCAGCCAACCGCGCCGCCTGATGCTGCGATGTGAGGTGCTGATACTCCGCCGCCTGCATGTGCAGCCGCCCCGCCAGGCACACCACACGACACAGACAGGGTCATGTCGTGTGGTCACACGCCGAAATCGTCATGGCTTGTCGCTACCGGAAATCCCCTCCAAGTACAGCAGCAGCTGTACCCCACAAGGCTTCGGCCGCCCCATCGTATGCGGCCCATGCAGTGCGTATCGGGCTGATGCATGACATTGCCCCGACTGCGGCTCAGCCCACGTTGTGAAAAAGTGTTCAGCAATCATCTTACACGTTAGACATGTGGACCGGTGGACCTATGGCAGGAGCACGCGGCAGTCCAGGGAGCGCCTCTACCGGCCACGGTCTCCCACCCTTCCCCCACAGGCGCTTCCCTTCCTCTCGCTCGTTTGCCCTATCTACTATCGTACAAAGCCTCTCGACTGGGAGGCCTGCAGCCCGTGTGTGCTTGCATCCCCACCGACCTCCTTGTGCTTCCTGTCAAACATGCACAGTACTCCACCACTACCATCCTGCCAAGCCCGGCAAACAACAAAACGGTACAGACTTCGGATCCGTGTAAAGTTTTCCATTCTAAGCCCAGCATCCTACCTGCCGCCGCCAGTGCTCCTCCAAGTCTATTTTAGACTGCTCCAAATCATGGGCTTGCCTGCGGTGCGCGTCGAGTAAACCTGACTGCGGTGAGTCTATGAAGCCACAAACAGGCGCAGTTCCAGGAAATGAGAAGGGACCTGGCTAGTGGAGGCAACATGCGGTGCAAGGCTTATTAAGGCTCAAGGGAATCATAGCAAAGGCGGATACCAAGGCAGCCAACGTGCTCCTCACTATTAAGCTATAAGGCCTGATGGCGCGAGCGTGCCGTGCAAGCTTTGCGACTGCGGAGCGGTTGAGGATGAGCTGCATGTCTTTCGTGAATGCCCAGCCTGTGGGGGCCTTCGGGTTGAAATAGAGGGAGACACTGGCTTCCCAGGGCGCGAAATGCGTACTACTGTGGATATAAAGGTCCCCATAGCTATGACTAATTTCCATCGGAGGCCTGGGCGATCAGGCACGTTGCACTCCAGCGCGTCGAGCCAAGGCGAGCAGGAGAGGACGACAACATCCTCATTCTGGCCCATAATAATGACGCTTTCCCGTTCATGGCACCACGGCTTTTACGGACATTCCCACTTGCGCGGAACAAATTACCATGCAATCGTACACCCTACTCACCCACCCTGCTCCTCTCCCCATAACCGTCCGAAATGCACCAGCAGCCCCGTGTGATTGAGCGTACCTGGACCATTACCTGAACCGCGATCTTTACCTAATCGGGCTGCCTGTTAAAGCTAATTTACTCGACGGCTGCCCCTAATCCTCTCCATGCCTGCCTACACCGAGCCTAGTCGGGCCACGGAGAGGGCCTTGGTACCACAGAACCTGATATGCGTCGGTGCCAAATGTAGGCTACGTTGCCTACTCCAACCACAGCTATTCAAATCCACTACGTGCACCACGCGCGCATTCTCGGTCTCATCTGGCACACTTGCTGCCACTACTTATTGGCATATCAAACAACCAGTCCCCCTCCCGACGACCCGCCGGGGTCCCTTCTTCGAGTCCCCATCCCAACCCCGTGCCGGTTAACTTGCCTTTCCATAACCGGCCCCCCCCCACACACACAGGCCGGTTGACCTACTTGCGGGCATCACGCAGGAAGCCCTCCAGCTCCCGCAGCTGTGTCTCCAGCTGCTTGCGTGCGCCATCCGCGACCTGGTTGCTGTACTCCAAGTCCGCGATTTTCTGACGGAACGCCAGCTGCTCCGCGGCGCTACGCCTAGAGCAACATCAATTGACAGCGGTAATTGATGGGGCAAAGGGCGTGGATTGACGCTGCGGTGATGCGGCATGATACCCGGTTTGCTTCCCGTTACGAGAAACAAGCCTGCATTACAGGTCGCGCAGCACGGCACTATACTATCGTGGTCTTCCTCCATGGTTGCCTCCAAGTCTCTCACACCTACCTTCTATCATCCAGCAATGCATTGTTCTTATTGTTGATTTCGTCCTCTAGCAACTTGAGCTTGCTCTCCCAGTATTTCCGTTCCTGTCCAGGTTGTTGAAAAGCGAAGGAACGTTACTGGGTAGCAGGAAAGAAGCGCCGCCTGGTGTAGAAAGGTGAGTTGCATTCACCCCTCACAATGCACTCTCACCATCAGCACGTGCATAAAACTGTGTGTGTTTGCGGAATATAGGGGAACATGACCTACCGCCATGCGCCCTCCTAGTAGGTGCCCTATGTGATAGACAGTTACACAGATAACTCCCCAAGCTTCCGCATCGCACCGTAAACCTATCCACCCCTTTGCTATTTCCGGCATGGCGCTGCACTCGCCCTTGGGACTCAGCCGCCGCGCTCAGATACTGAGTTTTCGGCTCGGCAGCTTTTTTTCCTGGCCCCAGGTTGTTGTACCTGATCATACTGCGTCTGCAGCAACTGCAGCTGTAGTTTGCTGTCATTGCTGCTGAGCGACATCTGCAGCTGACGAACGAGGTCCGCAAGGTCGGCTTTCTGTTTGGCAAGGACTGAAACCTCGTCATCCTTGGCAGCCAGCACAGTCTTAAGGCTCTCTAGGGCCTGGCTAGTGTGGTTTCGCTGCTCGGTGGCGGCACTGAGAGCCCCCTGCAACTCCTCGAGGGCTCGCTGCTTCCCCCGTAGCTCCATAGCCACCCGCGTAAGCTCCTCCTGCACCTGCATGTGTAAGCAACGTCTTCGGGCATTAAAAGGTGGTGGTGGTGGTAGAAAGAAGGGATAAGGACCTTTGGAAAGCGCCCACGGCCAACAGCGGGTTGAGAGCTGCAGCCTGCCGCCGTTTTCCCCGCTCGCGCACCTGTGACCGCTGCTGCAGTTCAGCCTCCAACTTTCCGATTCGGTCCTGCAGCTGGCTCCGTTCAGAAGCCCAGCGTTCCTCATCTTGCTGGTAGCGCTGCGGGGGAACAGTACTGTGTTCAGGTTACGGCATAACCTGCCTTTCTTACGGCATACACGGCTCTGTACCTTAAGCGCAAGGGAATATGACATCTCATTTGCCTCCGTCTGCAGAAGTGTTGGAAAATGATTAGAATCCCCCGGCAAATGACACACCAACAAGGTTCGGTAACACGCGCGCGTTTGACCCCACCTGCGCATTTGCAGCTTGGAGTGCTTGCTCCAAATCTGCAACTTTACGCTCCAAGTCCCCCATGGTACCCGAACTATCGGAAGCCGCACTATAAAGTTGCGCGCCAAAAGATACGCGATTTATTTATAATGTTATCTGCTATATGTTATAAGGATATCTTATTGACATGGACGTGTTAATAAACAGGACGGACGCCAAGTCTGGTTGCGAAGCGTTTGGCTGCTGGAACCCCCTAAACTAGCCATCACAAAGATCAAACAGTCAGCAGATGTCTCCAGTGCACCGGATATTCCATAATCGCAAACTTGCAAAGCAGGGTCAGGTCCAGCGAGAAAGGAAGTTGTACAAATTCTCGTACGCTCGACTTCAAGCTCCCGTGCTCCCTTGTTGCCGGCTTTCTGTAACATAATTATTTTCCAAAGGTGTGCCACTATGACCCGAACGTGTACAACTCTAAATCCACGGCGCTTGCGTAGCAATAATGGCTAAAGGTGTTCTGCTGGCAACGAATCAGCGAAGCAGCAGTACCAGCAGTACGGCAACTGCTCCACATAGGCCTGTGTCCGTCACTCTTAAGGGGCTTTCAGAGCAATACCCACCTCCATACCCCTCAATGTTATTACCCTTTGGAAGCACCTCCGGCTGGGTGCTATAACGTTTTGATTATTACAAAGCTGGCGGCACTCCGAACCTTAAACAGTCAAGACGTCGTTGGTGATGGCGCTGGATGCCAAGAACGGCATCCAATTAATTCTGTAAACACGAAAATGCCCGTCCAAACCTTCTTGTAAGCACATATACTTTGTCCCAATTCCAGTAGACGTTGAATAAAACCATTTTCACACGGAGGTCAGTTTTTCCCCATGCACAATGACACGCATACATGTTAATAGGCACATCGGCCTGTGACGTTGTTTTTCGAACATACACCCCTGCAAACAATCCATTGGGGCGACACCACATCTCTCCATCGTCACACATCCCACAATCACCATACGCGCAGTACATCAGTGCACACGCACACAGCATACATACATACATACATACATACGTACGACATCCCGCATGTTAGTACAGCATTCGACCACATCGCAAGCGACACACTTAAGGCAAGTTCAATCCACTTTAATCGCAACTTCGCGATTGTTGCATTTATGTCTAGCAGGACAGTACAGGCAAGTCGTCCATGCAAGGCATGTTATTGCATTAGAACAGGGATGGCGAGCTTTCCAGAACTCCATGCCCATGGCAGGCGCCGTCGTGATTTCGCCGCTCATAGCATACAAAATGGATGTCACGCCGCAGTCCATCAAAACATTAACGTCTAAGCTGCAAGAGCCAGGTCCCAAGCACCCAAGCAGCCGCTAATTGCAAAAAAGTCAGCCAAGCAAACAACCATCGATTGCCGTGCATTGTCACGCCATTCCCACTCTTATCCGTATGGTCGGACGCCAACCAGCACAATCTAAAAAACAACGTCAATGTGTGCCAAGCACACAGCACTGCAATTGCTTGCAGCTCCATGCTGGTCGCAGCACCGGCTTTCGGCAGCAATTATCCGCCCCGCAGCAAAGGAATCCTCGAAGCGTGATTGCTTAATAAGTTATTAACCCAACCATTCTTCCACCTTCATAGTATAGCCAGCCGGCTGACAGGTGGAAGGGTGAGGAACGTCCGCCGCTGCTGTTACCGCCGCCGCATACATCCTGGCAATTTCCATTTCACTGCACGCAAATAAAAATCCCTGTCCGGAAATGCACAATGAACATCCTGCGGGCGCACACCACGGCGCTTCCACATCACCATGCAATGGAGGAGGGTAGCCCTCAAGTGTGCTCACAGGAAAGCACCACTGTTCGCGCGGTGAGGAATGCACCGCCGCGAGTGTGTGGCTCCTCCCGGCGCAGTCGCTTTCAGCCCACCCACCCAGTTCTGTACCAAGCCACGCCTTAGGCGAGCATATCATCCACAACCATTATCAGTAGCTAGACTTGCCAACTGCAACAATGGCATCTTTGCACCATCAGTCAAACATCACACAGTGTCAACATCACACAAACGCTACAAGGCTTTCCGTAACATTAGCCCAAAGGGCATTGCGAAAAGGGATCCACGGCCTGGCGCAGCGCGTACTAAATCCTGGAAACGTTCGCGGTCAAGTTCGGTGCAACCTGCATAATCGGTCTAACCCTCGTGGGCCTCGCAGTGGGGGACAAACACTAGCGCCGTGCTGCCCCGCGTCCTCCAGCGGTGAACGAGTGTCGCCTTCCACACGGAAAATGGTGAAAATACCGTGTAGGTTAGGTAGTTTAAGTCCCAGTCCCAATCCCAGTCAGATGTGGACGAAGTCCTACACGCACGCGTACATCCATACGTACATTCAAAATGCACACGCGTGCATATGTACATACATACGCGTGCATATGTACATACATATATCCACACGGCATCCATAAAAGCAGCAATTATGTGCAGGCGCAGAAGCACCAAAGCAGTATTTCCATGGCTTCAGTCAGTGCGGCAGCCAGTATCCCGAGATGCACCAAATGTATGATCCAATGCATGCAAGTGTGCTTGTACGATGGCTGCCTGCCGCCGCTCTTCCCATGCGAGCATCCGCACATATCGCCGCATTACGCGAGGTGAGTATCGCTAACGCTGGACGAGCCAGCACTCTCACACACACGCGTCCGGACGCAGATGAATATCTGCATACATATGTACATACTTGCACGCGCGCATGCTTGCGCACGCTTTATGGAAGTGAGTCCCAACGATATCACTCGTCCTTCGCGCGGTCGGGGCACACCTTTACGAGGTGCGAGTGCTGACACATTAATTGTAAACGTTTATCGCAACTTCATCCGAAAGACCTTCCAACCGGAACCCCTTCTCCCCTAAGACAACATCTCCGCCAGGCATTATTTCTGACAAGCCAGGACAAAGCTCCGGCTCAGATTCCAGGTTGCCAGCACCACACGACCTAAGGCCCGCGCTGTAGTACTGCACCTGGCCGCTGCTCTCCAGCTACCTCAACTATGCCCAGGCAGCCCCCCGCCAACGCGGGGTGGTTCCAAAGGTGACAGCACGTGTGCTGTAAACAAGAGCGCTGTGGCATACACCCAGCCATGAACGCCCATCAGCTGTTAGTAATACTCATTCAAGGACCCCACTTTTCATTTCAACGGCGACATATCCCTATTAACCTGCGCAGCACTGCTGCCGTCGGCCGCAATGACGGCGGTTGGTGGCCCTGCGCCCGCGCGCACACTGGCGCTGCCGCCTCTTGACCCCGCAGCCGCCGCTTTGGCGGCTTCAGGGCCAGCCATCTTGTACCGCACCACGCCCAGTGCAGCATCTGCGGAGGCGCGCTCCTCCCGGCTTGCAGGCTGGTACTTGATCTTGTCCTCCTCCTGCAGCCCCTCCTGGAGCGCCCACGCCAGCTCATCCAGCGCGTCACGCAAGCACCACATACGCTCAGCCATAGGGCCCAACTCATCCTGCCAGCAGCGCAGGAGCCGGTATTGCTCGTCCAACTGTATGTCGGCAAGAGGATAGGGCAGGGGTCCATCGTGGGGATGAGGACGGGTGTGGGAACAAGTGAAAATGTCTGGAGGGTCCGGTCCGGAGAGACAGGAACACTGAGGCGAGAGTGTAAAGTCAGCCCACCGGAGGATGGGGGCCCGCATGAGAGGAATAGGCAAGGAGCTGCGGCTAGCTCCAGTGCCAACGATAACAAAAAAATGGCGTCCGAGCAAGGCCTAGTCCGTATTATGGAACCTTTTCGCATCCTGCAGGATCTCGAAACGTCCAGAAGCCCGAAAGGTCCATTCAATACACGTGGTGTCCAGAACTAGAGATCCCGGAAGAACGTTTTCATCCAGCCACGCTGCACAAGAAGACAGGAAGGTAAGGAAGACCTTCCAAGGTTTGCCGAAACGTTGCTGAAAAATCTTTTCCGTCCCAGTAGACGATGTGGGAGGGTGCATGATAATAGCTCCTTGCAAAAATGCCCCCATCCCGAAGGCAGTGCCAAAGCATGGCACCGGCCTCCTCACCCGAGGTCAGACGCTTCGCCCGCTCGTAACGCTACCCGTCAATTTCATAGCTCTTTTTTTTGCCCGCCACCAGATGATCAGACCTAAAGTGAGCTTTTGCTTTTTTAATCGCTTCCACAATGCACATTTCTTTCCCTCTCGCCCTCCCAACTTGCCGTCTCCAGCTTATCTGGCATGCCGTCCGTCCGCAGGATTGCGGCTTGCGCCGCGAGGGCCTCATGCCGAATCCGCAGATCCCGAGCGCGCCGGCACCCCGCCTCCGCGTGCTCCAATCTGGCCGCGGCGGTCTCCAGAGCCGCAGGGTCCATGGGCAGCTGCACCGCCGCTGCGCCTGCCACAACTTCCTGCTGCTCGACGTTCACCACCGAGGCGGTTGATACTAGGGCGCCATTATTCTTCCTGCCCAAGAAGTTCGTGACGGAGCTGGTGACATGACGGGCCAGGCCCCCGAGCCTGGCGCTGGCGGTCGTGGGCGCGTTGACGGAAGCGGAGAGGGAGGCGGTCGTGGCAACAGAATGTTGCGGAGTGACGACAATGGGTGGCGGTGGAGGCGCCGGCGGCGGCGGTACAGGAGGCTGCGGGGGAGAAGGGAGGCAGATGTCTTCTGTTGTAGGCCCCAACAAGGGCTCGACGAAACCGGCGGAGTGCTCCGGCGAAGACGGTGTCACCGCCGCCAACCCCACCGGGGATTTCCGTGAGCTGTTGCCACCAGATGCATTCACGGCCGGACCCGTTGCCATCCTGGCTGTTGTCGACCCGCTGGACGCCTCCGCTGCCGCCGCCACCATCGCATGGTCGCCACGTTCAATGCTCGACAAGGGTGGGTGTGGCGCACAGCCACCAGCCGACGCGGGTCCCGCCGTACCGGCAACGGAGCCGGCCCTGCCGCTGCCGCCAGGCTCCATTCCCGGCTCTGAAACTGAGGAATGAGCTTCAGCTTTTGTCCGCCCCTTGCGGTCCCTCATGACCCGGGACACCATTGCCTTGAATCCGACGCCATCACGCCCCAATGTTGCAGCTGCTTCTGCCGCTGCAGCTTCTCCGCATCCAGGTTTTCCCGCTGCTGCCAGTGCCTTGATGCCCCCCTCGCCTTCCGGCTGCTGATGCTGGGAGGTGCAGCCCGCAGTCAGTGGTGCCGCCGCCCTAGCCTGCTCGTCTTGGCGCTTTAGCCACGGAGGGGACCCACTGCAGGCGGCGTCGTTTCCCAAATCGACAAGCACGGCAGCGCTAGCGCCCGGCGACAGCGGCGTGGGCATGGGCGGAATGGAAGAGTAGCTGCCGGAAAGAGCAATAGTGGTGGTGCTGCCGCCGTTGCGCCCGCGGCGTATCACGGCCTTGGCCGCCTGGAACAGTCGGCCAGCAGCGTCCTCCGCGGAGGGAGGCGAGCCCGCCGCGCCGGTGCCTGCGGCCCCGCCCCGCAGTAGCGCCATGCGCGCGACGCCGATATCCTCTCGCACCGTCTGCAGCCGCTTCTCTGACGCCACCTCGCACTCCTGTAGGCGCTTCATGACGTCATCAAGGGCCTTCTCGTACCTGTGGAGCAGGATAAGGAATTCAGGCTTTGCAATTTAAATGAAAAAATCTACATTTACAAGAAGAAAAGGGAGTCAAGTCCAAAATGCATGATGCATCCTCTTTAGTGCAAAATTTAAAATAGCAGAGAGAAGTTAAATAGCCAGAATTCATCGAGACCTAAGACCGTAAACTCATTCACTCCGGCATCTTGTCCCGGCAAAGATCAAGGAGTATTGTTAAATGCCGACTCGCCTCCGTTCTTTCAAATCAGCGCTTTCCCTCCACGCACCTCTCCAGCTCGCCCTGAAGCGACCTGGCAGTAGGGTAAACCCTGGAGCTGCGGTCAATGGCGCCCTTGAACTGCTTGTAGTCCGACCACTTCTCACTAAAGTTGCCGCCAATGACCGCAATGGGCAGAGAGATAACCACCATGCACAGCAGCATTGCCGCGCCCGCCAAGAACCTGCAGAGGTGGTTTTTGAAGTTGCGGGGCAACAGGGGCTTAGCAGTTGGCATGAAGCCGATCATCTGTGCGGTCCTTCGTTCGTCCAGTCATTTTGATGATTGCACCTTGGTAATAAGCGATTGATGATTTTTGTGGGTGGCGTGGTGGCCCTGATGCTGCCACCGATGCCGCCGCCGGAGGCATGGGCAACTACAGCGGTGGCTCTAGGTCTTAAGTTTTCCGTGTACTTCACAAAAAACGTTCCAGCGCAAAGCAGCCCGCGCGGTCAGTAAAGCTTGGGCGTGGTAAAATGAAGACACCAGCAAAAGCAGGTATCCGCACGCTTCCGCCACTTCCGATCACAACGAGAAGTTGGAGCTTAACAAAACGAAAATGCCAGCTTGACAAGGCCCAACGGGTGCAAAAGCACTGGGGCATATCGTCCTCAGCGCTGGTGCACTACTTATGCTTTCACAAGGTTCAGGATCATCCCTCCCTCTGCCGCCTGCTGACGCGCCTGAGGTCCCTCCCACCTGCCCCACGGTGTGACCGGGTACAAATCGCCGTAGCCCGTCGTGGTCAGCGTCGTCTGCGCGTAGTACATCGCCTGCCGGTCGAGACAGGGCCGGCAAGTTGCATTGGGAACATGGCCGCGCGTATCAAGGCCGGGCGGAAATTATAGCAGCGGGATGGCGTCATGTCACAGGTCGGAAAACCACAGACAGAATACCAACTGACAGACAGATTTTCGATCAGGCAGGTACGGAAAAGGTAGATATTAAAACAGTCACACGGCACTGCCAAGATCGACGCCAGTTACGTCTGCTCAAAGCACTGTGCTGTGATGCAATGTGTTGTGTTATATTACGTCCATCACAATCAACAACGATGGCCGTCAGGTAGGCTTAGGTAGCGAAAGAGATAGCAGGAAAAAAAGAGTGAGGATTGAGAGGACGACAAAGATCCCCCACCTACCTGCGGTATGCTATCAAAGGTTCCAGGCTCCACGAAGAATATGATGGTGCCAAACACCACCAGCAGCACCAGCAAGAGGCAGGCCAGCATAATGAGGACCTCCACGCTGTCGCGAAGGGTGTCAGAAACCAGCGTCAGGTGACGAAGCCTGCGCGGTAGGATCATGTCAGAGTGATTCATATGCAAAAGCCAAGGGGCGGCTGTGCCCCGCCGACATCATGCCAAGGGGGTGAGGCATGTCTGGGTCATCGAAGCACAAGTTGGGTCAGGGCAGCTCGGCGCAAGGCAGGACAGGATAGGGTCGGGAGGCCGGGACGGGACTGGGCCATGGAGCACGAAAACATCACTACTCCATCTCAACCTACCCCGCGACATTCCGCAAGGTTTGCAAGTACGTGACCAACCCCCACCCACTCAAAGCGAGCCGTCAACCCGTCCATTCGTCCCAGACCGCATCGCAGACACACCTTGCTGTGGGAAAGCCAGGGCTCATTGGGATAGACTGACAGCCTGTTTTACTTTCATAGTTCTGCTGAGTTGTTTTCACCCTGAGCGAACCTATCAAAACCCCACCCTACCTATCCACGAATTCGCCATTACCATAACTTTTGCCTACCGTGTCAAGTAGCCCGTTTCCTCGAGGCGCCCCCAGCCCCAAATCCCGCTACCCCTAGTGCGACTTACTTGGGCATGGTCTTGACAATGCGCAGTACGCGGAAGACTCGCAGCAGCCTTACTACTCGAGTCTGGAACGCCTCTGATTCTTGCGCAAGGTGGCGGGTTTTTACGGCGCGTGCGGCAAGCGGCCGGGCGGAGAGGAGGGAAGGCAGGGAAGAGGGAGGTGGAGAGTGACCAGGAGCCACAGCAGGGGCGGATGAAAGGGGGTTTGGGTCCCTGCCGTGGCCATAACCCTTCCAATCCACCACCAAGCCTAAGAAACCGGGTCAGAGCTCACACAACCTTTACCTGCCGGGTCTTCGGCACCACGCTCCAAACCCATTCCCTCGTTCCCTATCCGTTGCCCACGCCTCGCGCTCACACAGGTACCAACCCAAACCATAATCACAGCCCGCGCGGAGCGAGTACTCCCTCTCCCCGGCCGTTCCGGGTCTCATCCGAGTCAATGGTACCAGTACTAAAAACCTTCCTACCGGTAACGTCTGGACTCGTCTGTCTTATCCTCAAAACCCTCCATATGCTCACCGTTTGACGTTCCCTTGGCGCAGAGCTCCGCATAGAAGGGCAGGATGGCGACAAGGTCGATAAAGTTGGAGAAGGACCGCACGAAACGGCCCAAGTTGGGGCAGCACAGCAGCCGCAGCAGGTACTCTACGGTGAAGATGCCCATACAGATGTAGTCCACAATCCTGCCGGCAGCAAGGATATGGGATTGTTGGGACGCGGATAGACCGGGGGACATGAAAGGACAGGGGAGTGGGGCCATTCGGCGATGCAACGCATCAATGTTGTGCTGTATACGCGAGGGTATGGGAAAGGTACAACAACGACCACCACCACAACGAAGTTACGGACGCCAGGACACACCGTAGCGAGTGTGTGCGTGGTCGACTTGTCGAATGCGGGAAAGGGTATTGGTTTCAATTCCATTACGCCTGATCGCCCAACACCACGTTTATGTTGGGTACAGGATCAGCTACCTGGATGCGGTATCGTGGAGTCCGAGCTTTGACGTTTTTGGCATGATGGGTCCGTATACGTAAATCCCCCTTCAAACCCATGCAAGCCAAGCCAATTAAAGCACCAACACCATCAACAACACCAGATCACCTACGTAAGGGCGCTGTACACGGATGTGTTGGCGTAGTACGGCACGGACTCGATGCAAAAGGTGATGGTATTGAGCAGGATGATGCAGATCATGAAGACGCCGAACCAGTAGGCCAGGTCCGAGTAGTCCGGGTACGACAATGTCATGTAGATCCACTCCCTGTGGTTGCGCTTTTTCAAGGTGTGTGCAAAGACATGCGTGCCAATCCGCAATCCTGAAAAATCAAGTCCTGACAAATCCGTTCTTGGCCCGTCTTCTGGGCCTGCTTTCATCGAGCACGCATTCGCCTACATCTTTCCCCTCCCACGCACACCACGCAGCAGCCCACATATGTTTAGCCCGGCCCCAATACAGACGTGGGAATTTCCGTGTTGCCCTACACCCCACTCCTCTCCCCCACCTGGCGCTGCAAATCAGCCTGCTTAATGGGCTCGATGTCATCTGACGCTTGGATTGCCACACACGCGCCTTGTCCACCGTGCTGGATGTCAGGAAGCTCTTCCACTTGGGGTTATCCTCTGAGGTGGGTTGGGGTTGGGGCGTGGACCGGGGGTATTATCGTCCCTGCTATGGTAGCCCTAGCTTGAGGTCAGTGCTTTGGAGTCCTAGCGCCAAGGATTTGAAAGGACCTCTCCCTATGTAAGAGGAAAGAGAGCGCTATGCAGCTTTCTGTCGGGAATAACTCCGGTCCACCCAACAGCCACGTAGTCAAGCCAGAGAGCACGCAGATGGTGTGGAGGCCCGGAGCACCTCCAGGAGCGGCGCAGGTGGTCAGCAGTGTTGCAGTGGTGGCGCACACCGCGACCGAAACATGAAGCCCCGTGCACTGTTGCAGTCACTGTCGCAGCCAAAACATAAGACAACAAATCACATGCACACATGGCCGTATTCTCATATGGGCTTGCAGAGTTTTCGTCTTCCAAGAAGCATCACAGTGGCGTGCTGCTTCACTGTTTTGCATGCAGTGTGCACCTATGGTGCATCGATCGATAGTGGTGAGAGATGGGGACAAGCTGCTGTGTCGGCACTGATCTCATTGCAAAGCCATTGTGTATTTGTGTCTGGAATGTTCAGTGTTCGTTACCCAGTAATACACGCTGCTCTGTCTAGCTGGTATTTCATATGTAACACAGCCACGCAATTCCCAGGTGTGCCCTTGTGATGGCTGCCTGGGGAAGCAGGCGGGACCTGGCAGGGCACAGTCGCCTCTGCTGCACGTTGCGACATCACCCGTTGCCCAGCTGACGGCACAGCGCACCGGCATGCCATGCCCACGCACTGTGGTGAACCTGTGGTTCTCCACAGCAACCAACTGACCGTGTTCAACCCTGCACGGCCTCCTTACAACCTTTCCTCCCTGTCCAACCCTAGCCTCGCACATTCACCATTACTATTTGCCCTGCTTCGGAGCTCGACACGTAAATTTAGGCTTTCAGCCCTCCTTCGCAGGTGGGTCCTTACAAAAATAAGGGGCGAGCATCTCACATGCACAGCAGGCGTAGCATAGTGATTTTGGCACTTGTGCAATACCGGGCGCTTAGCGTCTGGTAATTGGAATGAGTACAATCTAAATTCCTTAACGAGGATCCACTGGAGGGCAAGTCTGGTGCCAGCAGCCGCGGTAATCCCAGCTCCAACAGCGTATGCTTAAGTTGTTGCAGTTAAAAAGCTCGTAGTTGAATTGGGTGGGGTGGTACGGTTCGCGCCTGGTGTGCACTGTCCGCTGGTGTCCACCATCCTGCCGGGAACGGGCTCCTAGGCTTCATTGTCTGGGACTCGGAGTCGGCGAGGCCTCCGTAATTTGTTTGTTTGCTGTCGGTGATTTATCGAGTTTCAAGAAAAAAACTTTCCCACTTCTCTTTCCTGTCGCGGCCATATGACCGCATACAACAAAAATGGCCACGTTTCCTAACCTAAGCACAGCATGCGATGCCTGATTGCTGTACAGCAGGCCTGAACACCAACTGCAACATACCGCAAGGAAATCCGTATTCCGATCCACCATCCCTAATCCCATTGCCAACATCCCCGTTCACAACACCACACCCCATGTGCCACATGATTGCTTGGGCGCATCGGCCAACGCCGCATGACACTTACCCATCAGGTCAAACTTGTACACGTTCTCAACTTCTTCCGCGAATTTGGGGCTACCGATGGCGCGCGGCGTGGCGTCCATTGCGGTGATGGGTTCCAGGACGCTTAGCCGCGCCGTGCCGGCATGAGACAGGGTCATGCTTTCTCCGCGCTCGCTCTCATCGGCTGCCTCCGCCACGCCCTGCACAACTTCATCGACCACTTTGCGCTGAACCCGTAGGCTAGCACCGTAGCGCTCCTTCGTGAGCTGCAAGACGATATCGACTAGCTGGGCGACGGGATGCAAAGGTGACGCAGGCTCTGCGAGCGAGCCCTTTAGACCCTCCAGCGGAGGCGGCTTAGCAGCGTCTCCAGGGGACGCCAGAAGTTGATTTTTCCTTTGCCCTGCTGCAGAAGTCACGGGGGTGTGGCCGGCTTCCTGAAGGCGGGCTTCGTTGCTGTCACGTAGAGTACCGACTGCATCCGGCTTGCACACTGAAGGCTGCGTTTGCGCGTCTAACGTCTCCGGCGTAAGCTCGCGTATAGCTTCCTCTTCGCACAGTGCACTGGTTTTGGATGAGGGACTGGAGGGCTCTCGCAGTGCCTCCTTGTCTTCATCTAAGAGCTGCTGTTGCCGCCGTCGCCGCTCCTGCGCAAGCTGCTCAACTGCTGTCGCTGTCGCAACAGAGGAAATCATTGTCGCTGTCCTTTTGCAGCCTTACAGGCGAGTCAAACGACAACTGTAGCCCTACTCTCTATATAACCTTTGGAGGCTTTAATGCATTTGCACAGTGCAGCTTCAATTATTTCCTAAAAGAGCTTGCAATTATGCAGGGTCCTTCGACAACTGTCCACTGCCATAGTATTCCAACGGAAAGAGCGCTTGCTGTTAGGTGTGCTGTTTCTGCTGCCCATATCTTAGCTTGCTCGGATGTACGTGCTTTCTCCAACAGCCTATCCTCTGCAATACAGGGCCGTTACTGTACGTTTGTACGGAGCAGCTAGGTTGACTTCGTAAATTTGCTTGAGGGCTGGACAGTAAAAGTGTGAGGTAATGAAACGATTTGCTAATTACAGCTTCCACTGCAGAGTTGTCTTGGCCTCAACCAAAGTGAGCGTGTATTTCTGTCCTATTGGCTATGTCGTTTCAAACACAATTCCAAATACCAGGTCATCGTTGCTCTGCGCGTGGAAATGAAAGAATTGGTACGGGGCCAGTTTCCAGTCGCTCTTCCAGCTTGGGCTTGCCGCTCGTGGTACGCGGAAAGCCCGTCGGTGGTGCTTGGCATGGCGCATCAGCCGATGAGATTTTTAGACATGCAGCTAGATTACCGTATACCAAACTTCGACGACGCATCATCGTGGAGACTTTCGCTGACCCGGTGATGGACGCGCCGGAGGTAGAAGAGGAGGAGGGTCGACGGTAAGCAAGGTGCCAGGCTCTCTGGCGTTAGAAAAATATAAGTCGTTTACATTCTCGCCTTTTTTCTTTGGATATGGGACGGATGCGATGGTCGGAGGGTCTGCCATCAGTGCGTTGCGGCGGAAAACCGTAACTCACATACCTTGTTGCTGCATGCAGTCGCGGCTTTGCTGTTCTTAATCCAGAGTATTTCACGCGTGACCCAAATTTCCTAACGACGATTAAGCTCGTTCGCACTCTCTCCATCTTCTGCTGCACCTTAACCTTTGCGAGCGTGCATGACAATCTCGAAAGCATACCCGCCATCTCACAACCTTCGACTCGCCAAACCCGCAACCTGGCGGCGTCGTCACTCCTGGGATCCCCACCATCGTATGACAGGTGGGATCCAACTACCTTAACCGCCGTGGTAGTTGGCGCGGGCCCCACAGGGGCCCTTGCGGCGCACTACCTGGCCATGCGCGGCTACAAAGTTGAAGTGTACGACAAGGGGGCAAGACCGTCCCCCGGCGATGCCGCCAGCGTGCCGCTTGTGCTCACCAGCCGGTAGGTTTGGGGTTTCGGATCCGCAGCATCAACGGCAATGGCAACATTTCCAGCAAAGAACTGGCTAAGCCCACGGTTATGGGTTAACACAACGACGTATTAATACAAGCTGCCGTACTTCAGGCGATGCTCTCTATAAACGGTAGAAGTAATTCCCCCCGTTCAAGAAGAAACGCCGTCGTGCTGAGGGAAAAATCGAAACAGGCAAGATACTAAATAGGAGGGAAAGAAAAAAAGAAATAAGCCTCCGTGGGTTGTCTTGCCGTTTGACGGAATGGCGTAGGGGGTGGGTTCACGCGGACCCTGTATATGTTGAGTTCTAATTAATACTCATAAATTTTTGCCAACTGTACATCAACAGGATCACTTTCATAGCCGTCAGGATCATTAAAGAGCATTTTCGGTAGCCATAAAGCATAATTAAGAAATATATTTCGCATAAAATCAAAATTAGTATTGCTCGGAACGAATTTTTATGGAAATAACTGCATTTGAAGTTATTAAAATAATAGCTGCTGAAAATTGTTGGCATAATAAGGGACGATTTTAGATTCTAACTCAAAATTTAGAGGAACAAGACATACAGCTGCTTTGTACACTTTAAGCTGATATCCAGCCCTCATATCCATCAAGCTTAGAATATTCCGTTACAAATTCTTTATATTCTTTGGAAAGAATTCTCGACGCCGTAGTGGGTAAATCTGCCTCTCCTGATACTAGAGACGGAGATACCAATTACTAAAGAACATATCCAAAAACACAAACATGGGCTATAATGAACTTATTTATCCACGGGGTAGAAACATTTGAATACCCTTCAAAAACCCTCGTACGTTGTCCCCAATTCCTCATCCCCTCCCCGGCTCGGCAACCCTTCTCCTGCTCATCCCGCTGCTCCTCATGCGCATGCTCGTCCCGCATCTCCAGTGGCGCCATTGCATTTGAGGAGCTGGGTCTGGATGGTCAACGGCGCGTCGGGCCCACTGCCACCCCGCTGCGTGGCGTGTGGGATATGGTGGGGAGGAGGCTGCGGCCCCTGGACTCGAGCAGTGCCTTCCGACGGACCTTTGTGACTGACAGATCGGGTGAGTGACGGGTCGGGGGGCGGGTTGGGCGGGTGCTTGCATTTTTATTTGTATTTGTATTGTTACAGAGTGGGAAGCTTCTGGGGCATTGGGTGCTTGTGACACGTGGCCGGGCCTTAGATCGGATAGATGGGACAGATCATCCGGGTTGATTGATCTGCAGGCCGGGTTGCATGGCGGCGCTGGAGCTCTGGGTTGCGGCAATGTCGTATGAGGGCGAGGTGGCTATCTGGGGTGCAGAGGGGAAGGGCACACGTCCTTTTTGTATGGAGGAGGCGTGGGAGACATGGAAAGGGATTTCTCAGCGGGAGAACGCCAGGATTGAGTTGTTTTTGATGTCCACGTGTTGTTGCCTGCCTTCCTCATGTTCTGCGGGCACGGGCACGGGCACGGGCACGCTGCATGTCTCGAGTAGGGTGGGTTTTCAGACCAAAGCCTCAAGTCCACCATGCATCCCATCCCGCCCAAACCGCCCGTCCATTCTTTGCCCCAGGCCTAGCTGCTGACGTCATCAGAGCCGCAGAGCAGCGCTACCCCAACACAGTCCGCTTCCACTTCAACACCGGTAAGTAGCACGTCCGGTGTGTGTGTGTGTGTGTGAGAGAGAGAGTGTGTGTGTGTATGTGTGAGAGAGAGTGTGAGAGAGAGAGAGAGAGTGTGTGTGTGTGTGAGTTTTTATGCGTAAGTCTGTGTGTGTGCTGCCCTTCCAGTCCCTACCAAAGGTGGTAAGGGCTGCACAACCGCACTGCCTTGCCTTTGCAGCGCGCACTAACACATCACATACCTTCTGTCGCCCCGCGAACCCTCTCCGGGTGCCCTCCCCTCCCCCGCCGGGCCCCCGCGGCCTTACCTCCCCGTCAGAGCTAACTCGCGCGGAGCTTAAAAACCGAGTTGCGGGTGCACGACCAAGTACATCGGAACCCGCTGACGCGGCTGACGTGAACGCGAGCGCGGAGATCGATGTGCCGTACGATCTGCTTGTGGGCGCGGACGGGCTAGAAAGCACTGTGCGCCGGATTCTCAAGGTAGGCGGAGACGCGGAGATAGTCAGTATGTCGATTTCTGTCGAGTTTGGACGGGTTTGTGGGTCGGAGGTAATCCAAAAAGGGGACCTTCAATTCAGGATGTGCCTACTTGACCTAGGACAGGATGCATTTTGCCTTTCCGGCATGTGTCTGTTTCCATGTGAATGTTGCAACGGGCATATTGTTCGAGTGTGCGCAGTTGTTGCTCTACCCCTCGGCTCGAGGAAATCCAAAAGCTCCACACAAGTAAAATATAATTTCTTCCTTCAAATTGTACACCGTCTGATGCATATGGCTTGTTTAGGACGTGGGTTGTTATCAGGACGTGGGAAAAGCTTAGCATACCCAACTCTTTTCTCACCGTTTTTCCGTTCATTCCAATTTCCCAGTTTCCCTGCGACCCGTACTTGGGCCACCTGGGGTACCCTGGCGCCGCCCAGGCTCCGCCTCGGTGGAGCTCATGTGCCGTATATCTGCAGCTTTCACGTCATCGCCTTGAAAGGTTACTCACAATGATGATGATAATGATGATGATGATGTTGATGCATTCCCCAGCCCATTCCCTCTCAACCCACCCACCGCCACCACGTTGCCGCTTTGGTGCTTGGGGATTTCGGGAGCTGACTCCTTTCTTTCTGCATCACCAAGATGTGATCCCCCCCTTCTCCTCCCGCGCCGTGCCCTGCCGTGCCCTGCCTGCCTGCTTCAGGCGAAGGTCAAGGACTTCGGTGTGATCCGGCCCGTGGAGGAGACTGCGGGTTACAGGGCGGTCAGCCGCCTGCCCCGACCCTCCAGGGAGCCCCTGACGGGGTTTTACACGCACCGGCCACAGGTGACACCCCTCAACAACTCATTGGACCGTTACTGGAAAGAAACTGGAGCCGTTACTTGGCCTCGTTTCATGGAAGACGTGGGGCACCGCTGTCTCCATGTCGTGGCTCTCGACTTTCCCTCCGCACAAACCCCTTGAGTCGTCCTGTGGCATTTATTCGCTTTCCCGTATTCGTCCCAGCTATGGAAAATCAAAAGAACTACAGCTTCATCTTTTTGTTTTAAACCCCAAGCATGGCGCACTCCTCTCGCTTGATTTATACTCCTTTCCCCCCCGTCCAACGTCCCGATGACAAATTCCAAACCCCTCCTTCCCCCGGGTCTTGACCCCCGTGGTGAGCAAACAGAGTTTCACGCCGCCTCCCTCCCCGTGCGTAGGAGTACGTGTACGACTGGTCAGCGCCCGGGAAGCCGTCGGTACGGCTGTATATAGACATAGATGGCAGCGTCGGGGGTTTGGTTTCGGGGCTCCGGAGATGGGATGACGCGGCGGCGGCAGCCGCGGAGCTTCAGGCGGCCTACCCGGATAGCTTTCCGGAGGAGTGGGCGGCGGCTGTTGGGCAGCAGGTGGGTCGCCGTAGGTGTTCGTTGTTTAGCAGCCTGCGGCCTGGGTTACTCGCGCTCCCCGTATGTCTTCCTGACAACTTTACACCCCAATGCCTTAGCGCTTTCCCTCTCTCTCTCTCTCTCTCTCTCTCTCTCTCTCTCTCTCCCGAGCATTCCCCTCCTCACTCCCCGCATCCGCCTGCTCCATCTCCACAGTACTTTTCGCTTCTGCTCCATCTTTTTTCCCACCTCTATTCGCACTTCCATCGTCCCCTACGCTCCTCGTGCTTATCCGTCCACCTCGTCCCCATCTTTCTGCTCCTCCTCCTCCTCCTCCTCTCCCCCCCATTCCTCCGGAACTGCTGCTGCTGCTGCTGCTGTTACAGGTGTCCTCACCCGCCCTCGGGGAGCCCCGCCATGCTGCCATCTTGCAGTGCAGCCAGTTCTACGGACCCCGGACGGTGCTGCTGGGGGATGCGGCACATGCGGTGACGGGCGCCAGCGGACCCATGGGTCTGGGCCAGGGACCCAGTGCGGCTGTGGAAAGCGTGCGGACGCTGGCGCTGGTGCTGCGCGGCGCGCAGGTGCGATAAGGACAACATTATGTGTGTGATGTGTTGTCATGCGGTTGCGTGTGTCGCGTGCACGTGTGTGTGTGTGTGAATGTATGTGTGTATGCAAGTTATAAGTTGCAGGTTCCGCACAAGTTCGGGGGCCGTCTGTAAAAAGGGCGGAAACCATGGACGTATATGTTTAGGTGCGCATGTGTAGGTCGTCTTTCGAGGGTTTTCCTGTTTAGGACCTCCTGTGTGTGCGTGGTCGTGTTTGGGGACTGCGTGACCCGGTCCACCGACTCCTGGAGCCAACTGCTGTTGCAGTAAATACCGCTCCCCACCTACCTAGCTTCCCCCCTTCCCCCCTCCCGGCTCCCGCCCCCCTCACCACGCTTTGCTTCTTGCATATGATTCCTCCTCTCCTCCCTTTGCCTCTCCCTCCCTCATTTATTTATTTGTTTAATTAATTATTTATTTAGTTTAACTCTTGGCGGCTAGGTAGGTAGTTTCCCGCTATCTTCATGGCGACATCACCGCGAAGACTCCTTCATAAGTCGCGACTGGTTAGTCACTTCTTACAGACATCTGGCGTATCAGTCTATCCTTGGCATCAGCTTCACTCGTTCGTGGATTATCTTTCTTCTCTCCCTTCTTCCTTGCGACTTTTTATGTAAGAAAACGGGTAGTTAAATTGGCTCCTCCGTCACATGATCCGCTCGCCTTCTCCCGAGTACATTCATCCTGACCTTACCTCCCGCCTGCCTCCCGCCTGCCCGCCAGGACGATCTGGACAAGGTCCCTGAGGTGTACTCCAATGTGCGGGGAGATGCGGTGATGGCCATGCAGATGTTGGAGTTCATGGAGGTAAGGGGAAGGGGTTGGGGGGGCGGACGAAGATGAAATGAGGTGTATGCGCCCACTTTTCGGCAAGTGTAGGCAAAGGGAGAGAGAGAAGGAGAGAGAGAAGGAGAGAGAGAGGGAGAGAGGGAGGGAGAGAGAGAGGGGGAGAGAGAGGGAGAGGGGGAGAGAGAGAACCGATGTACGGCAGCGTGTGTGTGTGTGTGTGCCGTTTTACATGTGTTCCTTGCCGCGGGTTCCGCGTCCTCCGCCCCTCCCCTCCCCGCCCCAGTTGACTCGGGACTCGGAGCGAGCACGGCGACTCAAATTTGCTTCCTGGTGGTTTGCCTGGAGCGCCTTCGTGACACAGGTGCCGTACGTGTGCTGGGCTTGGGGCTTACGGCGCTTGTGGATTGTGTGAATCTGTGGGATTCGATAGCATGGGCTGGACTTGGATGCGCGACCAGGAATCATAGTCTTGCCTTAGTTTGACACTTCTTTTTGGTACATCCCGCGCACATCTCACCCTCCCATTCTCCCTCCTACAGCATCCGCGCCGGCTCGGCACTTGCAAGCCGTTGCGCCGTCCCTTGTTGCTCCCACCATCGCTGACCTAGCCTGCCATCCTCCTGCCCGCACCTCTACCACCAATTGCCGCCCGTGTCGGGCTTTCGATTGCGAACCTTGTGGTTACAACAGCACCACCAACCGCCCGCGGACTTAGGCCTTTAGTCCTTTATCTTCTTTCTATTCAGACGTTGTCGTTTTTTCTTAAAACTCCCGCTGTCCTTGCCGCGGCGATTCGCAGGGCTTCCGGTGGCTAGCCGAGACGGTGGGCGGTTTACTGTCAGCTGTGATGCCCAAGACCTTCCTTTCCGCGCCCCAGGTACGGATCTACGATGTGCGGTGGCTTGTGCCACACGCCGCCGCTGCTGCCGTTGCTACCATCCCAATTGCCAATTGCCTCACACTTCCCCGTTTGCATATGGCACTGCTCCAGGTTCAGCTTGTCACCCCCTTTTCACTCTCCCATTGCCTTGATGGCGACTCGGCAGGTATTGGCCCGACTGGAGGACCGGCGCATCGGCTACAGCGAGGTCATCAAGATGCTGCAGGTTCGTGGGGCCTAGGAGGATAGATAGAACCGCCTGGGGACTCAGACCGGACTTAAGGTACCGCTTTGGAAAGGCTAACCGCCTCATACATCAGGTTTCAAAGGTAGCGAGTATTTACCAATTAAGGGAAAGGACTCCTGCCTAAATACCAGAAGAGACAGGGCAACGGCCGGTGCTCACGTCGGGTTTGGGGATCTGCGCGGAGGCTTGGAGGAATGGATCCATTGCGGCTTGAGGCGTTATTGTTAGGCCTGTCGTTGTGCACCCCCATTTCGGCCGTCATTTTTGGCACGGGCATGTCTCTTGCGCCCGCAGGGCTACGCCTCGCCCGTGGTTGCGTTGCTCCTGGGCGCCATCTTCGTGGGACTGTTCATGGCCTTCAACCGTGCACTGGCGTAGTAGCATAGCGGCATAGCGGCGTGGTGGGCAGTAGAAGGTTTGAAAACAGTCGCTGCAGTATTTTAGAGCCGTAGCAGTAAGCTCCGCGGGAGCCTTGCCGTACCGCAGTAGCATAGTGTAGTGTAGCGGGTGAGGTGCACTCACATTCGGGATTTGCTGACCGGTACAGTTATTGGTGCACGCACCATTATCTCCTTTTTCCTTCCGAGGATCCACTGCAACATATCATGGAGTTACCCGCCAGGTACCCGCCCGGTCTAAACGAGCTTACAAAGTTAACGAACCTAAGGCGGCCTCCAAGGGGCCGTGAGCCAGAGGAAAAAGCAGAGATAGAGTCCCAGTGCAGCAACGGATCGCGACAAAAAACAGTTGCGGTGGTACTACTGGGAGAGACGAAGTGGGGAACGAGAGCTATTACATGCACATCGGAAGTGGTGGTGGTGGTGGTGGCGGCCAAGCAGATGTCTTCACTCGGACGTGCACAACGGGCCCCAAAAGAGCATCAGCGCCCTCATCCCGCACCGACCCGCCTCGTCCAGTACCTGCTTACACCTCAGGAATGCCTTCCACCCCGCCAACCCCGCCCGCCTCGCCTCGCCCGCCCACGAACTCCCCTGCCACCGTCGCCTCCGAAACCGTCCCCGCCTTCACCATAGTAATCGCTACCGTCGCCGTTGTCGTCCTCAAACGTGCTTGCTGTCGGATCCCTGCCGTATGACGCGGCTGAAACCGGCCGCGGCTGCAGTTGCCCATGCGCTGCTAGCTGTGCAGGCGGCGGTGGTGCAGGAAGAGACAGAGCTGGCGGCTGCCCGCGGCCCGCCGGTTCAGTTTGCGGCCGCAGCGCCATCGTCACCGCCGCCGTTGCCGCTGTCGGCGACGCTGTGGCGGCAGCGCCTCGTATTACCGCCGCCAGGGCGGCTGCCGCCGCCGCCGCTGCACCCGCACTTGGACCTGCTGCCATCGCCCGCGCCCGCGTCCGCGCCGAGGGCTCGGCAGCAGGCGGCGGCGGCGGCGGCGGCTCCGACGCCGCCACGCTGCTGCCGCCGGGCTGCAAACTCGCCGCACCGCTGTTACCGCTACCACTTTGACCCCTGCTCTCACGTGCACCTGGCGCCCCAATGGTCGCCTCCCCACCACCAGCCCCTCCGCCACCATTCGCCCTCCCGCGTCCTGCACTGTCTCGCTCGAATTGAGGTCCCCGAACCCTTCCTGGTCCTGCACTAGCATGCGACGAGGAGGCGACGGAGACAATAGCGGCAGCAGCAACAGCTGGGCCCTTGCTAGCAGCTGCCGTCGCGGCCGCCACTGCCGCGACGGCGGCATCCGTTACAGCGCCTCCTCTGCCGCCTCGGTCCCCTCGCCCACCGCGCCCCGTTCCGGACTCCTGTCCTCGCCCTGGTCTTTCTTCAGAAATATCTCCACCATCTCCATTGCGACCGCCGCCACGATCACCCTGCCCAGCACCCTTGGTACCCCCACTCCGCGACCCGTCAAATCTCCCGCCACCACCCCTAACCCTACCACTCTCCCTAACCCTGCCCCCGCCGCCAGCATCAGCTCCTCCTCGGCGTCCAAAGATGGAAGGACCTTCCATCTGGCGTTGCCCCGCCGCCTCTCCCTCACCCCTGGATTCAGCAAACCATCCGCCGATGGCTGCAGGAGCCGCCGCCATCGCCGCCGGAGTCGCTGCACTCTGGCCGCCACCCGCACCTCCATGGTCCCGTGCAGCTCCCCCAGCTCTCCAGCCGGCGGCACCACTATCATAGCGACCTTGTTCCCGGTCCCTGTCCTGCGTCCCTTGTACCAGGGTTCCTCTCCCACCACCACGGCCGCCGGCACTACGGCCACGTCCACAGCCGCTGCTGCCGCCATCATCACCATAGTCCCTGCCGCCGTAGCTGCCGGCCCTTCCCTGTCCAGGTCTCGACTCTGCCGCCGCCGTGGGCACCATCCGGTGTGACTCCTCCAAATCCAGCTCCGCCTGCGTGCAGCGTTCATTTTCACATTGGGATATATTCGCATTAACTGCATATTCGCATAAATAAGGGAATCCGCAAGCACGCAGCCCTAATGGCCCATTCGCCACCACCATCACCACCACATGAGAATACCACCACGACCGAGCAAGACATAATAAACATATGAAATTCACGGATACACACTTGGCTCCCCGTACCTGCAGTTGCCTAGCCAGGGCCTCGTCCGCCTCCATCTGGCTAACTGCCCTGGGACCTGGGGGGAGGGGAGCAGGGAGGGAAGGAAGGAAGAAAACCCCCAAGCAAGCGACCATGTGATGTGATATGATTTAATTATGGCGGGAAGATTCTAGGGGACGTCCGCACGGACACGAGGGATGGATAGGCGGACGGATGGGGACAAAAGATAGATAGATAAACAGACGGACGAGCGCGGCAACCCACCTGCCCCAGCTGAAGCCGCCTTGGCCGCCTTCATCGCCTCCCACTCCTCCAACGTCATCGAACCGCCGCCGTCGTCGTCGTCGTCGCCACCACGACGACGGCCCCGGCGGAAGCCGCCGCCGCGGCCGCCACCCCGGCCGCCGAAGCGTCCGAAACGACCTGTGGCCCACTCAATCAGGACGGATTAACCACCATAATAGGAACACATACAGAAAGAGATAGACAGACCAACAGATAGACAGACACAAACGCAACCAAACAGAGCGTTGGCTGGACAGCCGAAAAGATAGGCAGACATACAGACATGAATACGTAGAGACGTAGTATATGCACATAGGAGCAAACACAGGCATGCGCAAGAAACTACGCACAAAGAAACGCACACATAAACACGCACATGCGCTATGGCAGGCACGCCGTCTCTGCCCAGCACACAACACAGCCTCACCTGACTGGGCCTCCCTCGCCTCCAGTTGATCCTGAAGCTTACGTCTGGCCGCTTCACTGGCTGGGGCACCTCCCGAGAATAGGGGCCCCACGGGGGCAACAGACACAGGGGCACGACCCCCACCACCCTCCTGGCCCTTATCCTTATCCACTGGGCTGGCTCCCGCCGACCCTGCCGCCGCCACCGCCGCCTCCAGGCCCTTGCCTGCGGTCCCCTGGGACGGTGGGGAGAAGGCAGCAGTGGGCTGCGGCGGCTTGGGGGCGGCTGCGGCGGATCTACCGCTGAGCTTTGCTGCCTTGTCATCTCGGCCTGCGGGGAGTGTGGGGGTTGGGTTGGGGCGGGGACCGGGAGTGCGGATGAAGATGAGGGTTGAAGGCTGGGGATTCCAGCATAGAAAGGTAAGATCTGGCTCGGACAGGCGTCTGCGTCTGCGGGTGTCTGTGCGTGCGTGTGGATGAATGTGGGAGTGTGGGTGTATGTTTTCCTCCCGCCCTACCCCTCTTCTATCGCCCTCTCCCTCACCTGGGACGAAGTGTCGGAAAGGCGGCGCCATCTCCCCGTCGTCGCCCGGTCCGGAAGCCTTGGGTCGCTCCACTCCGCCGTACCGCCGCTGGGTCTCCCAGGCCTCAGCTAGGTGGTCCACTCGGCCTCCCAATACCTGAGAGCGGGGAGGAGGAGGAGGGGGAGGGCGGGCAAGGACATCGAATGCAGCAAATGGAAGAGGGGAAGCTGCTAGATGTGATGTGGGCATGTGGGGAGAGAGGGATACAATATTACAGTTGCAAAATGCAAAGGATTAATGGCGGTAGCCCAAGGCACCAAACTGCGAGCGCCCAAAACAAGTACACGACTGTTTGGAGCAAGAAGACCATCTTAGAGAGCTGTGGCTGAAGATAACATGGCTGTAGGGTGGGTCAGCCAGCCGTACGTAATGGCAGTACAGGCCCCCGACGCTGTGCCCGCTCAGTACCTTGATGCTCTTGGGGTTCAAGAGCACGACGCCGTTTTTGACGGTTGCGTTGCTGAGCAGCACTTTGGTGCCCGGCGGTAGGTTCTCGCTGAGCTGGTCAACTCGCTGATACTCGAGCGCCTTGCAGGAAAGCTTCCCGTCCGTGAGCCGCACGCAAAGCAGCCTATCGGCGCCACTTCCAGCCGCACATTCTCGAGAAGCCGGTCGGGAGACATCGGTAACTGAGCTGATCTGGAGCACCAATGGGCCTTTAAGAGTCGTTGACGTGCGATTTACGTCGTCAGGCAGCGCCGCTTTGCCTATTTTCTTTAGGTCCTGGTTTATTACGTCTTGTAACACAAATGAAGCATTTCCATCAGCTTCGTCTACCAGCTCTTGATATGCCTGTCGCAATTTTGAGGAGAAGAGCAGCAGTCATAACCTAACTTCCGGTGTACTTACAGGAAGACAATGACAGCACGCGCAGGACATACATCAGCTCTGATGCTCCAGCCCTGTGCCTCTAACTGTTGCAACATGTCCGCCGAGCGCCGAGCTCCTTTCCTCTCTAGGTGCTGACGTTGAGCTCAGCGCGAACAAGCATCTAAACGTAAGCTGTAGTCAATTTCTTACATTACGATTCTGTCTTGAGGCTTGTTTTGGCAAGACGCGAAGGGTACTGAGTAACACCGGGAAACGGTAAACGGCTTGGTCGTTGAAGCCTGATTCTCTAGTCTCAGGCAGACATCGGGCAAAAGAGTATTTCTGGTTTCGGGATCGTTCCATTCCTGTCATCACTGACTGCCGGCTCCGGCCGTCAAGCAGCCCAGAGGGTAGGCGGATGGTCCTATTCCTGCAAGCGGGTCGGCTTCCGAAGCCGACCGAGTCGGGGACTCAATTTCTGTTTTCTGGTGTTCCGCCACGACCCGAAGTGCCCGAAGCGTTTTTCCCCAGTTTCTGCCTCAGCTAGCTGGCCCCAGGGGTCTCCTGTGCCTCTCCCAAGGCTTGGGCCAACCCTTGCTCGCCAATCCCTCCAAACTTTCGAACCTGGCTCATGAAACTCAAACTCCCCAAACTGACGCGAACCCTCCGATTTAAGCTCCAATTCGTGGACCCTTCTCCTTTCCTAATCCCATTTGCTCACTAATTGGGCTAAGGCTCCAAAAAGCTGCGACTTGGTCGCGCGATGTGTACGTGTCATAGCGGGTTGAAGCGACTTCAAAATGACGCGGCGAGCTGTTATCACTACACGGGGAGGGGGAGGGTTAAATGGGAAAAGGCCGCACAGCTGCCAAACGCGAGTGCACTTGGAGGCGTGTCACCGCTGCTCCACAAGCGTGCCTGCGAGCTTCAAGGAGCTAATGAAAGGAGGCATGCCAGGACAAGGGATAGATGCAAACATAATGCAACGTCGCACGTCTACATCTGGGTCCTTGTTCTGCATGTCCTACAGCGTAATTGACATGTTTGCATGATACCTGAATGCTTTATAAGCAAGGCGCATTAAAGACAAGTTGGGTGTCGGCTTCAAGGAAGCCGGAAAAAGGGCGGGGCCCCTCTGCATCCGTACAGGCCGGTAGCAAGGGTGGCAAGGGTGACAATTGATGGGTAGTGTCAACGCGGTGGGAGATATGCTTTGTTGCAGCAGTGCTGATGGTGTGAGAGCTAAGCTTGCACCGGCGGAATCGTCAGCACCGCCT